CGTTTTAGTAGGCTCTGTGGACAGAGAACATAATAGCAGCAGTTTGCTTGTCTGATTTATCCTGAAACGTCTGTGGATGATTCTCAAACCCTTAAAATCAGAATTGAATACACAGCAGTGGTACCTGAGAGAGTCTTGTGGCTGCTGACTCTTGAGACTCTGCTAGCTCGTGAGATGATTCTGCTGATTGTGGATGCTCCTGAGATGATTCTGCTGATTGCGGATGCTCAAGAGATGATTCTGCTGATTGTGGATGCTCCTGAGATGATTCTGCTGATTGCAGAGGCTCCAGAGGTTCCTGAGATGATTTTGCTGGTGACACTTTCTGTTTTGAGGGTTTCTTCATGTGTTTGCTTAGAAGCCAATGCATAGCTCTGTGCCTACGACCCTCAGCACTCCGAGTTCTGAACAAAGAATGGGTAGGGGCAGGGTCAGTGGCAGGGGCGTTCGCAGAAGCAATATCCATAGCTGTAAGCCCCTGAAAGATGAAAGTGGAATACATTAGTGTGAAATTATCCTGGCAATGATTACATGGCCTCCAAGGAAAGGGTCAGCCCGTGCCTTAAGCAATAATTTCGTTGTTGCTACATCTCCGTTGTCAACAGCAAAGAACAGAGCTGACCATCCAGTGACCTGATGAGAAATAGCGAGTGCAAGCAGCTGTTATCTCGCACGTAAGTAATACATTACGGATGGGCAGTGTGGCTGTGTGCCGTGTGTGGGTTATAACATAGAGAAATCCTGCATTCAGACGACTAACTATGTAGCTCTAGGCACTTTGCTCGCCAACTATTTCATCTCTTACACTCAGAATATCAAGAGAGATGTTCCTTCCTGACAGGAGTATCTTCGTGAGATCAGTTCTACCAGACCTTGAGGATATCATCAGGGCCGTCAACCCCTCCTGATTGAATTGGAAAACTGGTCCATTTATGGCATTTTCAGCACTGAGGACTCACCTGGTTCTGTAGGTTGAGGTCAGCTCCAGCTCTGGCCAACTCCTTCAACACTGGCAAATGGTACCTAACTGTAGCTATGATCACAGCTGAGTCTCCTTCCTGTGGAAAATATAGAGACACATGATCACTTATGACACTAGATTGTTACCTTGTTCTGCAGGTCCAGTGCCGCACCAGCTTTTACTAGCAAGGGAACAACTTTTGTCTCACTCCAACTGCTGGCAGCCATCATCAGTGCAGAGTATCCATCCTGGTGATGACAGACAGACACAATGCATGACTTCATAGACCATCACTACATTATGATGGACACTCCATAACAACACAGTTGAACTACCATACCCGCTCATACACGACACCTTATTCTGTAGGTCAGTGTTAGCCCCAGCCTTCACCAGTAGTGCAACAACTTCAGTCCGACCATTGCTAGCGGCCATCATCAGTGGAGAGTCTCCATCCTGTGTGATGACAGACATGTGTAGTGCAACAGTGATGGGTTCACAGAAAGGCCTTGAAGTGTAAAGAGATGTATAAACTGCACCACTGACCTCATTCACATGATTAGCATCAACTCCAGCTGTGATCAGTGCGTTAACTGTCTTCAATTCTCCTCCCTTAGAAGCAAGCATCAGCAGCTCACAACCCTAGATGAAATTAACGACATGCACAGAAACTAAAACAGAGTAACAGTGTAGGATCAAACATTGCAATAAGGTAGAAGCTTATGGACAGTTACTTACAATCTAGTCCATGGTTGGAACTATAAACCATCAGTAGTACCTTGTTCTGCTGAGGGTCAAGTATAACCAGTAGTGTAACTACTTCAGTCCTACCCTCCCTGGCAGCAATCGTCAGTGCAGATTCTCCATTCTGTGCATGTGATGAAAAACATGTGTAGGTAACTTTTGTATATAGAATTCCCACAAATCACACCTGAATTTTACCTTGTTCTGTAGGTCAGTGTTAGCTCCAGCTTCTTGTAGCAGTGAAACGACTTCAGTCCTACCATATACGGCAGCCATCATCAGTGCAGAGTATCCACTCTGTGTGATGAAAGACATGCGCAGTGATACACTGATAAACTTTGTGTACATAGAATTCCCAAATCACACCTGCATTTTACCTTGTTCTGTAGGTTAGTGTTAGCTCCAGCTTCTAGCAGTAGTGAAACAACTTCAGTCCCACCCTTCCTGGCAGCAAACATCAGTGGAGAGAATCCAATCTGTGTGATGAAAGACATGTGCAGTGATACACTGATAAACTTTGTGTACATAGAATTCCCAAATCACACCTGCATTTTACCTTGTTCTGTAGGTTAGTGTTAGCTCCAGCTTCTAGCAGTAGTGAAACAACTTCAGTCCTACCCTTCCTGGCAGCCCACATCAGTGCAGAGTCTCCATCCTGGTGATGACAGACATGTGTAGTGAGACAATGAGAAAAAAATCATTAAAATTGTAAGGAGGTGTACTGAAGATTACTGTATGTCTTACCCGATCGAAGACATTCACATTAACTCCAGCTGTGATTAGTGACATCACTCTCTCGAAGTCTCCTCTCTGAGAGCCAGACCTCAGCTCATTACTCTATAGAGCAAAATATGTAGTGAAAACGTTTGTAAAACAGTGGCCAATAAGGTTCACTACTTGCACTGTGGTAATGAAAATAACATGCTCAGTGCAGCATAAACAAACAGTGCATCAAAAACAGGTTGTGGCTCGTTGGACCAGAGTGAAAACGGGCAGTTTTTCAGAGCCGGAAGCCTGCCTATGCAACCACTTGCACCCTGGAAAACAGCTGAGTAACACATGGAAACAAGGTCAAAATTACCTGAAGCTCTGCATAAATATACAAGTGCAAATCCCCCGTCCTTCTTACCATGTATTCCATGAGATTCATTTCAAACCACCTCTTCACAGTCACCTCTGTCAGGAGATGTTCCTGTCTGAACTCGGCAGTTAGGAGGACCACACCAACCATCCAATCAACCGCCTTGTGAATATGCAGGCTCACACGTACAGAGCCTTCCCCTGTGATCTTGATGTACATGGCATAGGGCTCCAGAGCTGCCTCCTCCTGAATGGACTCATTCAACTCTCGGATTTCATAAAGCGAACACTCAGAGGGTTGCTTGTTGATCTTCATGGTCATGCTGATGAACTCTTTCGTGATTGCACCACCAGGACGAGCTGAAATGGCACAGAGGTAGATATCAACTGTTGTGGACTTTTCAAAAACGACGAGAGAATCACGATAACTAGTCATTCTTCCCTTTAGTTCATGACAGTACTTCTTGACAACGTGAAAGATTATCTCGTAGTTGGAGTAGTTGCAGTAGCGCCCGAGGATAGCAAACAGCTTTCGAATATTCTTAGCATCAAGAATTTCATCTTCATTTCTTGTGAAAAACCGAATGTGGATCGCTTTTTTTGCTACCGGAAGATCCAGAAGATGATCCCGAAACTCATCGGTAAACGTCTGATTTTTCTTCTCTCTTTCCGACAGCAATTTTCGTGCTTCACATTTCAGTTTGGAAAACTCCTCTTCCAAATATTCTATGTTTGCTTTCACTACTTTAACCTTTGTTTTGGTAAGAAGAGCACCGGCAGTCACTGGAGCGAGGAGACAGACAGGAGCTGGGGTGTCAGACACTGGAGCGAGGGGACTGACAGGAGCAGTCAATGGAGCGAGGAGACAGACAGGAGTTGGGGTGTCAGTCACTGGAGCGAGGGGACTGACAGGAGCAGTCACTGGAGCGAGGGGATGAACAAGAGCTGGGGTTGCAGTCAATGGAGCGAGGGGAGTGACAGGAGTTCGGGTGTCAGTCACTGGAGCAACAGGAACTGGGGTGTCAGTAACTGGAGCGAGGGGACCAACAGGAGCTGGGGTTGCGGTCACTGGAGCGAGGGGACCGACAGGAGCTGGGGTTGCAGTCACTGGAGTGAGGGGACCGACAGGAGCTGAGGTTGCAGTCACTGGAGCGAGGGGACCGACAGGAGCTGGGGTTGCGGTCACTGGAGCGATGGGAATGACAGGAGCTGAGATTCTAGTTTGGGTTGCAGTCTCCAGGTAGCCTGGTGTGCTGAGCTCGGCTGTAGCACAGACAGAGGGGGTTGGCAGGAGAAATGAAGATCCACTACCGAGAACTAGGGGGTAACTTGAGATTTGCTCAGATTCAACGCTAGCTGCCAAGGTGTTCATGTTCATTTTTCTCAGTCCTGCAACAAGCTTATCCCAGCTAGCATCGAGGTTCATGTCCAGCCACTTCTGCACGAAGTGCTGTTTTCGATTCTCCCCCGTATACTCGTCAGCAATACTATCGAGGACTCTCAGTGGCACACCGATTTGGAACACTAGCTGCCTCGTCTCTTCAACGGTAAGTTGGCTAATAGCATTACACACATCCAGCGTGGACATTTTGCTGGGGGCCGTCATTCGTGAACGTCAGTGTTATAGCACACCTAAAACCACCAGTCCACAACAGCCGGGGCGCTGCAGGTCAACAACTCTTCGGGCCTGGCGGACACGCCCTCAGCCCCCGCGAATAGTCTCATTCCTACACACCGGAGTTCCCGATCCTCATGCCAGGCGCTATCACCGTCGGTTGGCGCATGCGCTAACAGTGCCTTACGCACAATACAACTACTCCCGAAAACGTTATTCCAATGCCTGCAGGGTTTCCAGCTAAAATGGCTCATTACTACTCAGCGCGGTTTCCTCGTCTGGATATAGGAGGCGGGAGAAGCGGGTCCGGAGAATTAGACATCTCGGCTGCAGAAGGTTTGTTCTGCATGCATGCGCAACGACGCGTTAACTCGCAGGTTATCATGCTTTGGTGGTATATGTACTTCTGCTCGATTTTTACTGTCTTTCACTAAACTTGAGGCCAATTCTAGCAAGCCAGACACTAACGCGAGGGTCTGCTGGCTTGCAAGAACTTATATACATTTAGCCAGCTATAAAATTAAAAAAGTCGTTCTGTCCCACAGGAGATGAGGGGAATGAATACTGGTTCCCTGCACTTGCCTACAAAGTCTATTACCCCATCATATGGGGACTGATACTAGTTGCAGCCATCTTGCTAATGTGTGCCTGCATGGGGTGGACCCACTGCTGTACTGTCCGCTGTAGAAAGTAAGGACCTCTATATCTATAATACAGCTTTTGTCAATGCATGTGCATGCCAAGTTCTTGTGCTCTAACTCTTTGGACTATAGTTTGATGATTGTGTAAACTGTATCTGTGTGCCACAGAATAAACGTGCATGCCTTGCAAAATGACCTGATATACAGTTTTAGAAACGCTCCGCTGTACCAGCAAGGCATTTTTTGCTAGAAATATACAAAAGTTGCCCATGTATAGCAAGTTACCTATTTTTTTTTGTCTCTAGCAACATGTTGTCGCGGCTATTCTATATCTAGTAATTTCTGCTGCAAGTTACCGCATGTTATGTGATGCATTTATACATTGGTATAATATATAGCCGTAAGAAGAAAGACACAGAAGTATGCCAGTTAGAAAGTGCAATCTTACCAAGAGAAGACAGAGAGAAAACAACACTTGAAAATGGGGCTGTACTGAATGGACACAGACCAGAGCCGCTGGAGAGAGCAGGGGGAAACACAGATGGAATGGAAATGGTTGAGGCTGAACTGCATGCTACACCGGAGAACGAAGGAGGGAGAACTGTTGAGCAAAATCGCAAAGGGGCCAGTGGTGCAGTGGAGAGAGAAATAGAGGAACAGCCAAGCAGGGCGCTTGCAGGTGTGAATTCGCAAAGACCAAGCAATTCGGGAGGGCCAGCATTGTTACACGAGGGGCATCCGGGTACTGGGCCGGTGCCAGAGGTAAAAGATACAGGCGAGATGGCTGATGGTGGGGCAACAGTGAGTGAGACTACAGTCGCTGCAGATGTACACAGAGACAGTACTGTAGGGCAAATTGATCACAGCGACACCTGCAGTCCCCAGCAAACCAAAGTGTCTGGCAGTAAATCCAAGGCTTTTAAACCAGCCCCCTTATCCATCCTACCACCAGGTGAAACGTATACTTCGGGCACTCTCCCTAGTGAAACGATGCATGCTGCTGGAAAAACGGCCGTGTCGCCCAAATCAGCCACATTACCCGAACGAACCAGTCCTAAGAACACCGAACCACAGAGCGTGAGAAGAGTGAAGACTAAACCAGTACCCCCGAAAGACCATCGATTCTCAGACCGCATCAAAACTAAGCCGGCTGCCAAAGATCAGTTAGCACACCGCCCGCGTTCCGCTGCACCAGAGGTGAAAAGAACCTCGAAAGATTACCAAGAAACGACTCCTGGGGACCAAAGCCCTCTTGTACAAGGTGGCTACTACAATAGTCTCAAAAACAGGCAGAGTCTTACACTTGAAGGCAAGGAGACTGATGATTAAACTACACCATTGCAACTATGACCCAGTAGTAGCTAGTTGATTTGCCACCTCACGGCTAGCTAGTTTTGTGTGTGCTTTTACATCGATACACTGCGATACATAAACATAATCCTTTTCTTCCGGATGATACATAATACAGTGTATCCAACATATTGCTATTGTACTGCTTAGCTACAAAGTTTATGTACACTGTATGCTATGTTATTACAATACACTACGAAAACTGGTTGTATAGAGTAAGTGCATAGCTACATACGTAATGCAAAAGTGATGCACTGTTGGGCAGCTATGTGAATAAATTGTTGTGTGACACCTGGACTCGGCGGCCACAACTGTACAAGTCCCGTTAGACTTCTTGTCTGTGTTTATACACAATGGGGTAGCCTCACTGACCATGTTCACATACCATTGCTGTAATTAGGTAGAACGACACATAGTGCCGTGACTATAAATTGGGTGTGTATAAAGAGTTAGAATTAGCATTCGGCATAAGATTTCTGTCAAGAGTGAAGCTCCGCCGGTCGAGACAGCGGAAAGCTGCTGCGGAGGAATTGCGCCGGCTGGAGCGCCAGATGCCGTTCGCTACAGTTGTATGATTTGTCCTTTGCTTTTCAATATTTCATTGTATATCCCTATAGCATTGTATTATTCGAAATTTATTCATTTAAAAACCTGTTCTGCCAGTTTTGCTAACGAGTCAGTAAGAAGACTACTTGGGGTTCGCACTCGGAGGTCAAGGTTCGCAGAGGTAACTTTACCGTGGACGAGACACGGTATTTTGGGGAGGAACGTTCCGGCTGCTATTCCTTCTTGGCCTGACAGAGGAAGAGATGGAGGGAGTTAGGAGAGAGGGTGGAGGGGGAAAATAGAGAGGGGAGGGGGAAAGGCGAAAAGTAAGGGAGGAAAAAGCAGAAAGGAGAAAAAAATGTGCAGGTGTAGTGCAGGTGAGAAATGGGGAAGGAAAGAGAGAGAGAGAAGGAAGGGAGTGAAAGAGACCAAGGAAGGGGAGGGAAAGAAAGACAGCTAGAGTAGGGACAGACTAACAAAACTACGGAGCATTCCGCACAGAATTCCTGGAATAAGTGATAAGACCACGACAATGAAAAATGCAGTCAGCGCTATTTCGTATCGGCTCAAATGTCAGTAAACAGTCCCCGGGACTTACCCCTAGCCTTCGATGATACAATGAAGTCCAGATAAGGGAGTGTTGCAATACAAACACAACAGCGGCTTAGAGATTTTCAACATGTGCAAAAGTACACATACAGTACACGATATTGTACTATTGATAATAGACTGTAGTGAAAAGATTTTTTTAAAAGATTTACACTGTCATGTGAGCAATAGTATCGACATTAGCTCAAATATTAATAGGCAGCAAGCTGAAGCCATGGCCCCTAAGGTCACAAGCCTTTTTTATCCAACAATTGTTGGTACTCTTGCAAATGTGTATATATTAAGAGAAATCATGTCCCTTATCGATTCAGCTCATGGAGTGCAGTGTAGTTATTTGTACGTAGCTACAGGCCCATGGTGTGTCTCATACCGATGATCTGAATGGGATGGAGACTAAGTCTGGAGCGGAGTGTGTCCATGAACTGGGCGACTGTCTTGGTGTTGGGAGAGGACTGGATGTTCAGAGTTCTCTCGTTGGACAGTCCCGGCCACTTCTTCCCGTACTCCTGGGTTGATAGCCCCAGTGGTCTGCAGAAGGGTTAATAGTGGAACAAGTAAGTCAACTGAGGGCAACTCAGCTGGTAGGGGTTTGAATCTACAAAGGAATACAACACAAAGGCAAACCTCAATCCATGCATGCATGAGCTAGTCTCAACACACCTATGGGATACTGTTAATATTTGCCACATGTGTGTGTGTGTGAAAAAGATCTGGGAGCTAAGATTCCTCAATAAACTGTGGAAGTAATGGACATTTCTAGTACATCCTGTGCATTATTCAACCTCTGAATACAGTACACCTCCACAAGGATATGTTTCATGTTCCCCTTTTTTACCCTTATTTTTTGATCCAGCTCTAAATGTTCTGGTGCCCTCTGAACACAGGATATCTCCACAAGGACGTACATGTATATCATGTTTCCCTTTTTTGGGTGGTTCAAGTAGATCTCAGAATAAAGGACATGTTTGTACCATGAAAATTGTCTTTTATATGAAGAAACAACCCTTTACTGAATGATACAACTCTGGATTGAAACAAGTGTCCTCAATGGAGATGGGTCCACATTATGTGCAGATAACCTGATGAAATCGGAGACCAGGAGACTAGCATCAAAGAAGAGCCTCTTGTTTGTTGCCATGGCGTCGCTATAGGCGACCTGACCCTGGAGACTCATCCTAGGGGCGGGGCTGCTGGGAACCAGTGTGACCACGTGGACACCGGTCGCAAAACCAGTCAAACTGGTTTTGAAGGAGAGATCAGTAACCCCACTGCTTGCCTTGGCCTGTGTGCAAAAAACTGCCCTAAATTTACTTGAACTTTGAGCGATTTAAAAACACACGTAATCGTAATTACTAGTCAAAACAGTCAAAATATTCTGTGTCTGTATGACTATAGCTAGCGCTGCATTGAGTAGTGAGTTTTAGGGCAGCCAAAAGTGGGGTTTACAGCACATCATACAAATAATTATGTCCCCATGAGTTTTGTTAGTAGGAAATGTGAAAGGTTTATGGCAGCGAGTACCACCATTCCACCCTCCCCCCTGCTACATATGTATGCCTCCTGTAGGGCTCACCGTGAGGTTGGAGGATGGTTTGAGTGAGAGTGTCACGTCACTGAGGGAAGCCTGTTTCTGGTTGGTGAGGAACAGGACCACAACCAGTTGATCTGGACTGACCAGTTTGGTCACTGTCAGTCTCAGACTTGCATCCTGGCACACATCCTGTGGCATTTGGTCAGAAATCACCAGTTTTGAAAGTGAAAGTGATTATTCAACATGTGACACCTGGACTTTCTGTCTCTAGTTCTAAACTCGGTCTCTAACTGCGCAATAGCTCTTACACTACTCTTACACTATTCAACATGTAGATGCAAAAAACACACAACCCCCTATAACACCATGCATTGCATTAGAACCTCTGAGACGTATGACATCACAATGATGTCATGGTCGAGACAGCTCACCTTGTTTGTCCAGCCAGCCACAGGGGGTAGTTGGGAATATTCATCAGGAACTTTTAGAGAGGTCAGTGGGGTTTCCAGCAAATTTAGAGCCAGCGACCCCTTGGGTTCGGAAACTTCCGGAACCGTGGTCGAGGGGGTGGGCTCTAATAGGGATATGTCGGACGAGATATGTGGGGCCATTACTGCCATGGTGGGCTCCAATTGGGGCTGGGGTTGCTGTTTGTCGGTTGGCACGGTAACCATGTCGTCAAAACTAAGTCCGAGTAAATCAGCACTGCAAGAAAAGATGTGGACTTTCAATGCAACAAAAAGTTTCAGATTGCTATTATGTAATACATGAACACAGCAGAAATTCACATTCACTTCCAAGACGTGAAAAGTGTACAGGTTTCCCATTTCACACGTTCAATACTTACAAATGTCAGACTTCAACTTCAGCACAGATTATATATACCTAGTTGAGTTAGTTGGTGGAATTGTGGGGGGTGTGCTAATTTCCCCCTGGAAGGTTGGGGATTTATTCTGGTGTTGGCGAATTTCCATGCCCCCCAACAGCCCCCCTCCCCCACCGGCGCTACCACCACTGGACACCGGTATCAGGGGGTCAAAGTTCATCTCCTTGACTTCCACTGCGTGGGGAGGATGGTAGAGGTCTTGTTTGGGGGGTGTGGTTTGGGAGAAATCCAAATCCTGCACGAGTGCATCAGGGTACACACAATTTTACATACGGCCGTGGTTTTAACATGCACAAAAACTTAATCCGTATCGCCACAATAAAGGAATTTAGCCATTCGGGACACGTGAGTACACATTTTATTTACTCAACCGCATTTGTTTACATGTATATATATACATAATGTGCACTTAGATTGTAGCAAAATTCTCACTTGCAAATCCAAAAGAAGATCAGTTGATGCATCTTCGCTTTTCACCTCATTTCGACCCACCGACCTCCGTGGGGGCCTGGAATCAATTTTCCCGGGGGTCTCCCCCCTCCGTTTCTGTCGGGGGGCCCTGGCCGGCCCCGAGAGGGTTCCACCGCCTCCAAACAGCTGGCTGGCCAGTTGTCTCTTTCTCACCTCCTCGGCCGAGGGCTGAACAATACTGGCCACCACCGGACTGGGCTGCAGGTACGGAACGGAATGTCGAAAGCGATAAAAAATATTTTAAATGCGATAGAGCTAACTCAAGCTAAATTTCGCGTCTTCTAAATCTTGTATAATTCACATTTCGTGAATACATAAGTGGAGCTGTGATCTTTACCTCAGAGGTTAAAGAATATTCGTTTGCTGGGGAACTTCAGCTTTTGGGACGGTGTTCCACTACTGAGGGTCCGTTTCTCACTGGTTTGAGGTTTGCCTTGTGTTGTGTTGTGTTGTGTTGTGTTGTAGATTCGAACCCCTACCAGCTGAGTTGCCCTGGTAGCTCAGTTGGTAGAGCGCTCGCCTAGACTGCAGAGTGTCGTGGGTTCGAATCCCACACTTGGAAAAAAATAGCTGTCTTAGGTGTAGTTGATTTGTCTGTTGTGCCTTTGCCTTTCTACCTCGTAGTTTTCACACTGCATACAGTTTGCAAGCATTGATGGGAAAGACACCAGAGGCCCAGCCTTGAGAACCGACACAATGTGATAAACCCACACGAAAACTCCCGTCGGTGTGTGGCATGAACACACCTTGTAGAACAAGGAAGTTAACAACAACTAGCCTGCTCCTAGACAACTGTAAATAAGCGTAAACTCAGGAAGTAATAGCTTGCTGTCTATTACAGTCAAGTCTCTCAGGAAGTAATAGCTTGCTGTCTTTTACTTCCTGAGAGACTTGACTGTAATATACAGCAAGATATTACTTCATGAGTTTACATATATACGTACACACCATGTAACAAAGCCAAGTCCCCTTTACCAATATATAGGTATTACATCATGTTGTGATGCAAAGAGAAAAAAGATGCGGATGTGTATGGGATGTAAACTTACAGCAGTGATGGGTTTTGAAGGAGATTCCCCACTTCTTTCACTCCTCTCACTCCCTCCCTCCTCCTCCCCCTCCTCACCCTCCCTCGTCGCCACCGTCACCGGTTGCTGGGGAGACGTGGTTGTCGTGGCAATTGGTGGTGTTGCCACGGGAACAGAAGGAACCTCTTTCACGTAACCCTTGTTGCCCCAGACACGCTGCGTTTTGACGGCAATACCCGAAGTGGACCTGTGCATCAATTAGAAACCAAGCTTTGCTATACACAATCAACTACATACGTAAATTATTATGCGTGAAATTAATATTGTATTACTAATTGAGGTCTTGTTCTTGGGGAAAGGAAGGGTCCAGGTATCCGTATCCTTAGAGACGGGGGCTGCTTACAAGAACAATACACAAATACAACGCTTTTTCTGCAAATTTGAGTGCAAACTTTCAGCTTTAAGCAGTTTTATTATACATACGTACTTGAAACAAGTTTCAGTACGTGAAAGTGTCAAATAGGTACAGTATGTATGTATGTACAGTGGTCTGAGGTGTGCCTCTGTGTTGAAGATTCGAACCCCTACCAGCTGAGTTACCCTGGTAGCTCAGTTGGTAGAGCCTCAGTTGGTAGAGCACTCGCCTAGACTGCAGAGTGTCGTGGGTTCAAATCCCACCCAGGGCAGCTCTTTGAGAAAGAGCTGTCCTGGGTGTAGTTGACTTATTTGCCTTGGCTTGCCTTTCTACCTCGCTACCAAGTTGTTGAGACATGTCAATCTCTTCTTACAGTTCACTGGGAGCGTATTGGAGACTTCCAGAAGGAGCCGTGGTCACGGAGTGGGCGATCTGGCTGCGAGCGGAGGTGGGGGAGGAGAGGGGAGAGTCCTCGCTGGGCCTCCGGGGAACTCGGGGAGATGGGGAGGGGGAGGAGGGGAGGGGGGCAGGGCGGTGGAAAGAGGGAGGGGCCGGCATGGGGTACTCCTCGAATCGTATCTCCTTTGCCTGAGGAGCTGTGGAAATCGTTAGTAGCACACACAATTATACAGGAGTAGTGCTCGTGGAGTTCGAGGACATGCAGCTTTTGTTCCACACACGATCGTGAGATCAGAACAAAGCCCATTATATTACACATATTATCAGCTTAATAGTTACCTACATACGTGTACATACTTCACAATGTACTCTGTCTGATCTGCGTGGTTAGCTACTTATAAATGTTCTAGAAAGTTCTCTTCATGCACTACAAAGGACAGGGTCATACTTGCAATAGCAGCATGGGACACAGACCTTGATTCCTCTGTAGCACAGCAGGTCTGAGGTGGGGAGGTTTGTATCTGGAAGCTCCCTGGGCCAGGCTCTGTGTGACAAAGTCGTCGAGGAAGGAGAGAGAGGAATCGACTTCGAGATCTTCGCAGGCCGAGTCCAGCGGGAGAACCGTCTGCATCATGGACAGGTTCTGAGAGAGTTCCAATAGCTCGTTGCAACGCTGTGGACGAGAAGGAGGTGAGAAAGTAAATTTGCAAGTTCGCGAGGACAAACCTATTCTGGGGGGAGCGGTGTAATAAACTCAGACTGTCATTCCCACTCATCTATTGACTCTTTCATTCACTTCACACTATATATAACTCATTCTGAGCATGCACACTGACACTATACCTATTCATTGTACCGAGCATGCGTATAGTGAAAGTCGGTTCTAGGCAATTTTATGACTCTTAGCAGACGCTAGAATTCTACAGTTGCTACGTATTTAACTGAGTGCCATGTATTAGGCAGATGAACTTATTTTTTTATGGATATGTGGATAACATGGTATGAATGTTCTTTGGTAAGCATGGATGTGTGAACTACCAGGTAGAAAGGCAAAGGCACAACAAACAAGTCAACTATGCACACCCAGGATTTATAGTTATAGCATAGAAGAGACACAATTACTCTACCAGTAGTTAAATCAATGAACATATTACCTACCTGTTGAACGTCGGTGTCAGTTGAGGCGAGGTAGACAGCCACCTGACTCTGAACATTGTCGGGCATGCTACCCAGCCTGGCCACCAGCTTCGTGACACTACTGACGACCCAGTTAGTAGTCGTCTTGTCTTCAAACGTTCTCATCAGGAGACGCGTTATCTTCTCAAGGATCTCCTCTGTGTCCGTGTCTTCCAGGACATAGGAATATTCACCGACCACCTGGGTTTGTTGGTAAGGGCTCAGTAATTTCAACGTTTACTACTATTTTATTATCTAGTCTAACAGGCATTTTTCGTTCGTTAATAGTTCTGCCTATTACTCTGGGTGGGTGGTGGATGGCCCTAGTGCTATGGCAGCCATATTTCGTATATACCCAGCAGATGATCTTGATGAGTATATCGGGGAGGTTAGGTTTGTCGAGCAGCTCGATGTAGTTGGAGACGGCATCTTGGCGCAGTTCCACGTCAGTTCTCTCGTCATCGGTCCCTTCCGCAATCAGCCTCATCAGATTGTGCGCCACCTCGCGACGCACCAGGTTACCACCTTGGGTGAAATGTATAAACATAGCAGCAGCAAGGTATATATACACCACAAAACAAAAATTTGCAGCAATATTATATACTTTCGCGATCAATCGCATGTGGCAACAAGTAAAGGCTAAATTAAGAATTTTACAAAAGATTAATATAAGACCAAGCGTGAGAATGCAATTAAGTTTCCATTTTTCAACTATACTTTAAAAACTCACAAAAACATTTCACTAATGCATTTCACTCCCTTCTCACTCCTTTCTCTCTCCCTCCCTCTTTTCTCCCTCCCTCTCTCTCTCCCTCTATCTCACCAAGTTCAAATATGGCGTTCATGGTCTGAATGAACCAGATGTTGTCAGGGGCAAACCGCTCGGCCAGCTGCGTAACCTTGGAGACCAGGTCGGCACGGATATACTCGTCCCTCGTCTGGCGGAGGTACCCTATCAATTTCTCGGTGATGACCACCACGTTGAGTGGGTTGGTCATCTTGTACAGCAGATCCAGGGTCTGTGGGGAGAGAGATAACATTACGTGCTACGTTAGTGCAGTAGCACTTGTGTATGACACACGTTTTCTAGGATTATGCCACAATACCCATTCACTCAAATTTTCAAGAGGTACATACATTACATGTGAGCAAGCACAGTAAGCATAAAATTTCACTTTGTAGAGATGTTGCATGTGAGCAAAGCATAGAATTGACTTTCAAGAGGCAGAGGCATTAAGCACATCTCAGTTCTTATTAAAGGGAATGTGTCAGTACACAAGGGCTAAATTTAGAAATTGTTACTGAAAATTGGCATTCTTGCACTGAGCCCTAGTGTTTAGTTCTATCCTTATAAATACTGACACATTCCCAACCCGGGACAACAGATAAAGAGGTGACATCATAACCTTTCTCCTGAGAGTGTCGTCGGGATCATCGAGACAGTCTATCACCACCATCTGATGCTCCTGGGCGTACTTTGGATTCACCTACATACATCGTTATACACAATATTATACTGAAGTATGTTCGCATTGAGAATGCATCTTGAAAATCTAGAATAACTTCCGATTCCAGTACTGTATGCAGCCACGCTTGGTATCAAAATGTAGCGCTTCACACTCCGGTTCATTCAGCGCTTACCTCGTTCCAATCCGCCGCGTAGTTTTTTTCGCTGCGCACGTTATGCATAATCCCATACATTTCTACGGCATACTTTACATACGACGAGAGTAGTACCGCCCTCCTCATTATCTACACTTCCGCATGCATTCTCAGTGCAAACGTACTTTAGTACATTATCCAGCAGCATAACAATGTACACAATGAAATGAGACTGTATATAATGACAACATTTCTTATGCAAGTACATTACCTGTACTAGTGAAGCTAGGCCGTTGATGCCAAGGTATCGCCAGTCGTTGTTGGTCGACGTGACGAAACGAGACAGACATTTGGCTGTCGTGGAAACCACGGAGTTGTTAGGGTAGATCGTGGCAACCGTTTTAATGCACTCGTAGGATATGGCTGGAGAGGGAGTAAGGAAGTAAGGAGGAAGGGGGGAGGGGGAAGGGAGAAGAGGGGAGGGAGAGAAAAAGTAGGAACAAGGGAAACAGAAGGGGTTAAGAAAGAGTGTACAGGAATAGGAGAAAGCGGTGAAAGAGAGAGAGAGGAAGGAAAGAGAGAAGGGGGTCATATATACACAATAGGAAAAGGGGAGGAGCTCAGAAGTAACCACAACACATTCAGAATGAGTGCTAGTGATATGAGAGAGAGAGAGAGAGAGAGAGAGAGAGAAAGTGAGGAAGGAAGAGGTAACCTTGTCCAATGTCAGAGTTACACTCGGCTGACCCGATGACCCTCTCCACTACAGGATATATCTTCTCACTTGTCCTATTGTGACACACACACATACAGTACAATTAACACATTGCAAAAAAACCGGCTCACAGCATAAAAACACAATGTGAAAATCTTGGATGTGTGCGTATTACGCAGGATAACAAGTACCATCAAAGTTCTACAATACTTAAAGTATTCAAACACTAAACAATGCAATACCATCGGGGGATTTTTAGAACACTATCATGCACACACAGTGTATGTGATTCTTTACCATTGAAATTCAGATGACTATATTAGCGAGTGACTGACAATATTATCTTAGAGCTTACATACCTCAAATCGTCTGCTCCGAGAAGTGCCAGTATCCGTAGCAACCTCATCTGCATCCATGGCGCCGGAACACCGTGGTAATTGAATTCCTCGGGGAGTTTTCTATCAATCACCTATCAATTAGAAACTCAGTTACCGTAACTAAACTTACAAATTATCATGCTGCGTAAGTATGTGTACTACTGTAATGGTATGTATGTACCACATCCAGAAGTACAGTACATAGAGTGCAGAGTGTCGTGGGTTCGAATCTCAAGGGCAGCTCTTCTTTTTTCCTTGGAAAAAAGAGCTCTCCTGGGTGTAGTTGACTTGTTTGTTGTGCCTTTGCCTTTCTACCTCGTAGTTTTCACATGCGTTGATTTTTGAAGCCATCGGACAAAATTTTACAGGAAGGAGCAAACACACACACATCTCAACAACTTGGTAACCAGGTAGAAAGGCAAGGCAAGGCAAACAAGTCAACTACAACACCCAGGACAGCTTTTTCTTTTCAAGAAGAGCTGCCCTGGGTGGGGGATTCGAACCCACGGCACTCTGCAGTCTTTTCCCAATTTCCCACTTTTTTCTATTTGTCCACTTCTATACTGCCCACTGATGATTTGTACAATACCTACGTACCTACAATCTACACATACTGCTATATATTGACAATATTACGTGTATATACCTGCGTCAGTATCATTGCAAAACTTTCTGTCAGGTCTTTGTACTTAATTGGACCATTCTGTGTCGACAAGATTGAGGAAATAAAAAATAATTACTACTTCAGTTGTACTCCCTGTAACAAATTAATAATGTGCTAAAAATATGGACGGACACCAATGGAACAGGAAGAAATGTCCCTATGGGAGAGGCGTTTCTTTCAGGGGTGTTCTTAAATAGGAGGTTAGAACCCATAGCTAGAAAAACCAGGAGGGAAAAGGGTCAGCCCCTGTCCAAACGATACCTTGATGAGGTCGTGGAAGAGAATGAGAGCGGCCTCCATGACCCCAGGGTCCTGGTCGCTAAGGGAACGCCGGAAGTCGTCCTCGAGGTGGGAGATGGAGTCTGGGGAGAGGAGGAGAAATCGGTGCATCGCCATGACCGCCTTCTTCCTGACTAGCTGTCTGGGGGAGATGGGGAGATAGGGAGGGAAGGAGGGAGAGAATGTACAACACGCACTAACTAGTTACATCATGCACTATGTTATAGAGCTTTGGTCTGTGTGAATGTGCTGTGTTTGATGAAGGCCCCTTACAAGGCCCCCCTCTTCTTTCTCTCTCTCTCTCTCTCTCTCTCTCATCTTTCTACATGTGAAAGTGTGAGCTGATCAGTTTTCATATATAGACTAGTTCAATACTCAATGAGTTAACTTGTGTTCGCTCACCAAAATAGCAGTAGTACATATTATTACACATTATGTCAGTCCCTCACTTGGGATGCAGTAGTTTGTCCTGTACGAGAGGAAGGAGAGGAGGGATCATGTCTGCCCCCACCAGCTTACAGATGGAGACCAGAGCCATGGACACCTCCAGCATGTTGCTGCTCTTTAGATCCTACAGCACACAATACACACTCACATAAAACAGCCATACATACATACATATGTAACAATAGACTATGTGATGCCAAGAGAAAAAGATGGGAGCTCTGGACAGCTGTTTCTGGCCTCATCAGCAAAGCATACACACCATCAGTGCTACTGGGTACATATATGGGTGTAGTTGACTTGTCTACTTTGCCTTGCCTTTCTACCTCGTTGTTGACACATTCATATCCAGAGCTCTACATCTTTTTTCTCTCGGCATCACATGAAAAGTCTATTTATAGCATACTAGCCACAGAGAATAGAAAAACCAGAAGTCACCCTATTTTCTACATATGTTGTTGACACATACATATGTATGTAGTACTCTAACAATACTATAGCTTTCACAGTTAGTTTTAGTGGCCATATAATATACATAAATGCGAAAAAAACACTCTCTCGCATTGACAACAGGTTACATACTTTGGAGGCATAATTTATAGTACGGCAGTTGTGATGGGAGCGGAGTGGAGGTCCCAACAGTATTTGCTACATATTATACCCTAGATGCAACAGAGATGCTGCGAAATACCCACGAACATGGAAAAATTATGTAATTCAAATGCTACTGTACATATATATGCATCACATAATATATTTTTTATATGTACACTTTATCTTTGAAATGCCTACACTCTCCTTGTTTACAGTAAGCCTTGCATAAACAGACTTGCAATCAGAACCCTTTGGGGAAATAGTTCTAGTGGTGGGTTGAGACGTGTGTGTTGTTCATTGTATATATACCTTTTGAAGTGTAGCCACAAGAAGAACGTTTAGTTCGTGGCCTTCGTGGAGGAATAGGGAGGCTGCCAGGTAACCTGGAATACAGTGAGGATGGGGTTAACACTTAACCAGCCACGGACAAAATGTGTCCAGAGCCTCCATAAGTCCATAAGAATTTATATGGGGGTTATAATACTAGGCGTTAATATGTTATACGTACATCAATTTCTGCTTATTTAAGGAGATACCCATGGCATCCAAAGCAATCATAGTAGCATGTGAAGTTTGGTAATAAAAACAAGATAGAAGTAAGGAGGGAGAAAGAGAGGAGGAAGGGGAAGGAGAACAAGGAAAGAGAAGGTAGAGAGGGAAGGAGGGGGAGAGAGGGAAGGAGAAACAGAAGGAAGAAGGGAAAGAAGTACATATTGAAACAGAAACCTATTCTCTTGTCCAGAGTGGAGCCAGTCTGTGTGAACTTGACCGCATGAATGTAGCCCCAGGAGCACTCCACCCCGAGCATCTCACAGTAGATCAGTCGGATCAGGTACTCACGCATTTGACGCTGCGTGACACCACAAAACACGTAGTGACACCACCGATACTGTTCAACACAAGCATCACCTTTGTCACGTCTCTCCCACCAACTTTGTCCTTGAGTAAAGCTGCTTCTTTCTTTATTATTCTATCTTCCTCCTGTAACACATATATACCCAACACACAGTCAATTCATGGTACATGTGAAAACTCTTTGACTAGTGAGTGAATGCTCATACTCCAAATATAGTCAAACTATTATGGATGGTTGGTTTGGCTTTTTCTTCCACTCGCGTTCTCAGTTGAAGGGGGGCGTGGTGCAGTATGTAAATGGCTAACTCAAAGTGAATGCTACTGTTCCATACTCCAGCTATAGTCAAACTATTATGGATGGTTGGTTTGGCTTATCTTCAACTCATGTTCTTTTTAAAAATGCAAAACTGTTAAGACTCTCTGATCGATACTGGTGCATCAGATCCACACTAACACAGCTGTGCATTATATTATCTCCGAACAAGGGAGGCCTCTGAATAAAGGACACTTCCCATACTCCCAAGACGTCCCAATATTCAGAGGGTTTCACGGTAGACGTATGACTCGCCCAAGATGTCCAAATATTCAGAGGTTTCACGGATACATTGTGACTCACGTGTTTCGTCTTGGCTTCCCCAATCTGGCGGACGAGGCTCTGGAACTCTTTGCTCGGCTGGTCCTTGCTGCCCAGCTGCGACAGCACCCTCGCAGTCTGCTCCATGGCCGCCCTCTGCTACTGTATTCACGACGCCAGCATCCCAAAGGTCATCTGGAACCACACCTACCGTTGGTTTGCTGTTGCGCATGCGCGTTAACTGCCCAAAAGTGCGCACGCGCAGTCAGTGTAAACTGGAGATCAATATGCTACCTTTAAAAAATTCCTGATAAGTGTATAATAATACATCAAGACACAAATCATGATCATTATGGGTAAAGTCACGTAATGCTAGGGTCAGCTCCAGTAAATATAACAGATCATACGTCAGTTTGCTCGGTCTTCTCCAGTGTTTGGCTGTGTCCTCGAGTCTCTGTGAACAGTTTCCTGCTCTGGACAAGAGAGCTCGTGCTGTCGGGAGCCGTCTCTTGCTCCCCTGAATTCTGATTGCCAGCCGTCGAATCTCGAGACCAGCGGGCATGGAGAATGATCGGTGCTTGGTCTGCAGAGTAGCGCCGATTGTCCCCATCTGTCTTTTGGATCAACTCTTGGTCTAGTGATACAGGTCGACCAACAGCACCTTTCTTCTGTCTTGCAGAACCACCATAGAGAGACGGTTGTTGCTCGGTAGAATGACGTCGGTCAGGAGAGGGACCTTGCTTTTTGGATCGAGGTTTCGATGGTGGTAAAATGTCCACCGCAGCAAGGTAACCGTGTTGTGTGTTGGGCTGAGGTTGAGTGTCGTTGGGCTGGGCGTCTTCGTTGGGTGGGTATGTGTGTTGGACTCTTCCCATAGTGGCTGAGGCTGGTGCAGATACTGCCAATTTTCCAGTGGCAGCAAAGGCATTGGGAAGACTGTTGGAGGCATACGATGCACCAGAAGTCGGTTGATTCTCAGCAGAAGATGGATGATCTTCATGCTCTCCCTGTTCATTGTCTGCTGTGGGATGTATATCTAACGGTGGAGGCGGGCTGGCCTTCACACGCTTGCTGGAATTAGCTATTGCTTTATCCAATTCTTCTACGTCATGGACCTCTGCAGTACAAACATGCTGCTCACTCTTCATTTCTTTTTTGCTTGCTTCTGCCTCTGGTTCCCTGTGGACAGCTACAGCCGGCTCAGTATCTGTAGCATGCAGTGTATCTCCTTCTCCTGGTCCTACTGGATCGGTGGTGAGTCCATCTCTTGTTGTCTGTTGCTCCATTTGCCCCGTGGTCTCGCCGTCCCCCAGTCCTTCAACCGAAGCGGCTCTTTCCTGCATCAATCCACTCTCTCTTCTCTCTATCTCTTCTCCGCTTAGTTCAGTCAATTCCAAATCCAGTCTCACTCCCTCTCCTCCAGACACACCTGGTTTCTGTAGGGCCCCATTCTGGACCATCGCAGTCTCTCCACTCTGTCTATGTTCTCCTCCTATAATCCCACCTTGTTCTTCCAACTGCCTGACATCCATCTTCCCCTTCCGAGACCTATACAATAACATAACTGCCTCGCATACATTTCCACTCATTAGCAGAAAATACAGGCTTTTCAGTTGGCTTGTAAACCCTATATACTAGAAATGTGATGAATGTTGAGGTATAACACTGACTCTTATATATAGCTGACATAATTATATATTTCCTTGGAAAAAAGAGCTGTCCTGGGTGTATATAGTTGACTTGTTTGTTGTGCCTTTGCATTTCTACCTCGTACATATAATTATATTTATGTTATCTGGCAACATTGGCAATTTGGCAAACACAGCTAGGTTTCTACTCAGTGTATAATATCTATGTAAGTGCATATATAACATATATTGTAGGCGATAAAATCTGCAATACCAACTACACATACGATAGACGGCCATATAAAATAGTAGTGGATCATTGTGTCAGGCATGCAAGTCAATGATAACAATTTGTGTAGGCACATAGCAACAAGTTCGATGTTTATACGCAACCAAAAAGTCACACATGTGTATTATTATAGAGGTCCTTACTTTCTACAGCGGACAGTACAGCAATGGGTCCACCCCATGCAGGCACACATTAGCAAGATGGCTGCAACTAGTATCAGTCCCCATATGATGGGGTAATAGACTTTGTAGGCAAGTGCAGGGAACCAGTATTCATTCTCCTCATCTCCTGTGGGATTATAGTGTAAGCATTATGAAGTGGAAGTGTCCAACGCTAAGCCTTCGCCAGAAACGGCTAGCAAACCCGCACGGCTCAGCTTTAGTTAGCTAGCTACACCCACGTTGCTCAGCAAGCAACAGAGAGATCAAAGCAGCATGCGGTTGAAGCCATGCAGCCGCACGCAAGAACTGCTGGATTACCTTCTGCAATGGAAGAATCGACTCCAGACCCGCTCTCCCCGTCTCCGGCAGCTAGAAGAAACCTCGACGTGTAGTAATGGGCCGGCATACTCAGTCGGTGCTGGGAAGATCCAATCTCACTCTCGAGACGCCCTCGCCTTAGCCAGTGAGAATTGCTCCCGTGGGGCGTCAGCAATGAATATTAGCTGGCTGCAGCTCGAGAGTGGGGCTGGCATGCGCAGCAGCTCAAGGAAGGCGTGGCTGAACATCTGGGGACCGTCAGCTGCGCACTGGGTCTCTCGCTCCTAATAAAACCGAGCCTAAAACAACTGAGTAGTGAACTGCGGCGGACAATGGCGAGAGCCACAAACCGCGGTGGGTTTTTTCCCTGGGACAACCCCAGCGTGCATACCTGGACCTGCACCAGTGAGCGAGCCCCGACGTCCGACGACTGTTCAACCAAGCTCACTGCTCTGCCAAGGGAGGCGATGGAAATCTCCGTTCTACCCGCTTTTGCGGTTGTGCTGCAGGTTTCTTCTGTGTTTGCAAGCGCTTCCGGCGACGGTCGTAAGTACTACACAAAGGGAGTGTTTATGTAGCTACAAGTGTTGTTGCAGCCTTGGACGAGGTCACCGTTCCGGGGATAGTGTTAATCGTCGCTGGAGCGGCAGTTCTTGGTATAATTGGACTGTGTGTACTTGGGTGGGGATTGCTCTTACGCCTATATTTTCGTGGCTCAAGGTATATAGCTACTGTATACGTTACATGGATGAGCTAACACCACTCTCTTATGGATTTTTTCCCCAACAGGCAGCAATCTACAGACAGTACAAGGAGCACCGAAATTGTCCAACTCCCAAACTTGCATCATGCCCGTCAGCTCTCCCCAGCAAGTCACTGCAGTACCTGCAGCACAATTGGCCATTCTTCTCCCATTCCCACTAGACCCCACACCAAACGATTGGCGGTCTACACTCATCCCATACATCACCACTTTCCCACCTCCAAGAGCGAGTTGTCTGCCCTAATGGCCAGTGGAAAACAGGCTACAAGGAGGGTGTCCTTTTCAAATCCAGAACTAGCTGCGTACGGGTGCAAAACTAAGGCCCACCTGCCTACCATTTCGGACGAGGCTAATGTAGGCCAAGGCAACGGAGTCTCGTGCTATCCGCTGTGTGAATCTTACATCCACGCCCCACAAGCAGCAACTCAGAGTGATCCGTTACTTCTCTGCACATCGAATTCTATGCCAGCTACTAACTCCCATGGAAGACTGCCCACAGGATGGCAACACGACATCAAACCGTATCAGTAAAAACTTTTTGGGAAGACGACAATCCCCCAAACTCATTCTGACTACTAATTAATATTGTGTTTATGGTGAAATGGCAAAGAAAAGCTAAGAATAAAACATTATATAATATTATCATGCCAAACAGCACTGTAAAAACAGAGATTCCCACTGCAATGGAAAAGCGTCATAATAATAGATAAAGCAAGGCTGTAGAAAAGTGTCCCAACTCCCAAGGCCTAACTAAGCAGGAGAGCATGCATGATCTCAAACATGCAAGCGCAATAACAGTAAACAGCAACATCTTTTTTAGAAAAACATCTCATGAAGGAATGAATTCGGCTGCATTAATGTTCCACTGAAAGACAGTTGTGCTGGGGGTAAACACACAGCCATCGGCTGGTACAACACCAGCATGTCCCCCAGCCAACACCAGCGAACTAGTGGTCCCGGCGGTTCCCGACTCCTCAACGGATATTGTTGACAACTGACTGTCGTATGTACTCTCTACCTGTTTAGAGCCAACGATGTCATCCTCTATTGCTGTTGAAATACCAGTGACATCACTGTTGACATGTTGTGATATTGTATAGATGGGTGGGTCAGTTGGAACACTCTTCTTAGGAAGGTATTTATCCCACAAAGCATCTGTTGTTGTTTTCTGATTCCCATTCCCAGTCTTTGGTTCCGGAATGGGACCTTCCTCCTCACTATTGTCACTACCAGACCCCGAGAGTAGGGGATCGTTGGTAGTGGGTGAAATTTCGTCCTCGGTGGGTCCCCTGGGGGGCATGGGATGAGCTACTCTTTGATAGAGCTCAGTGGCTTCTTCCACGAGTTTCCTCAGTTTTCTATAGTGGCCCTGCAGACACACAGTTGATGGAAATACGACACGGTAGATCAACAACACTGTTAGCCAAGTGTTCAAAATATTAAAAGAGTGATGGTATAAAGAATGAAAGTTGCTGTACAGGCCTTCAGTGGGTCTATTTGCAAGTGTATGTGTGTGCATGTCTAGACTATAGGACAATGTAGCAATCAGAACACCTAACATCAGGACACATCATGCCAACAAAACATAAATTAAGGTATAATGTATATACATCTTTGTCTCGTACAACAAAGTTTTAACTTTACACTTGTCTTCTTTTGCTACGACTGTCATTGTAGAACTAGTTTAAAATAGAACAGTGTCATCGTTATGTGCACCATCTCACATTGTTTAATGAGCACACGCAGAAGCAAGAGCTGTCATTGGCTCCAGGAAAATGTACGCCATTGATGCTACACATACCTCAGCTCCATCATAGCTGAAAATCCCAACGCAACCAATCTTGAATTTCTTCTTCAGGACAATGGCCAGCTTCCTGCGAGACATGGCGTACACAACAGGCACCTGCTTACTCTGACACAGACTTAGGATGGCTGATATACGCTCGTCTATCCCTCCTGCAATGAGATGAATAAACTATAACACAAAATGTGTTAAACGCTACTTAAAGATGAGTATTGTATATACCAGTAGATTGTATGTGGTCCAGGTTGGGAGGAACAATTACACACTTCAGTTTCCCCACTTCGAGATGTTTGTAGACCTCTCGTAGCCCGCAGACATAGCGTCGTTTGCTCCTGGCCTTGATGGGGTCCTTGAGGTAGGCTCTGTCCTGGAACCGTACCAGATCCAGGAGCAGGGCCTCTGCAGCTCTGTTTACCTCATCAGTCACCATGTGAGAACAATATCTGGCCACAGAGGGGTTAAATTTGCACGGTCGTTACTCTAGCTTCAACAACTAAATATCCAAACTAAAGGAGTACTGTTATATAGAAACTGCCATGCAGTACCATTTATCAGCTGGCCTGATTATCGGGCCACTCATCTTTCATGAATATTTCAATTTTGGCGAATTTGGCAAGCATAACGTAGCTAAAAAAAGTCCGCGAAATCTATGATTTGTAAAGCTACTCACTCTCTGAATCTTTTGCCATGAACTTGTCGTTTCTGTATTGCTGAACCAGCTTCAGTGACTGCTGAAGTACTGGGTGATGGTTGAGAGACAGGTGCAGTGGAAGGAGCAGGGATTATGTCATAAGTGGGCGTGATTTCCGGTGATTGATGGGTGGGTGTGGCAGTGGGTGTGGTTTCTGGTGATTGATGGGTTGGTGTGGTCAAAGATTCCTGGCCTGTATTTGTATCGATTATTTCACCATTGGCGGCAGGGACATTGCTGTGATCTGATTGGTCAGTTCCAGGTTGTCTCATCACATCAAAGCTAGACAAGAATCAACAAACGGAAAATTAAACAAAAAAGGCTAAAAAGTAAAGATTTATGGCATACTCATTAGGAATTTCCTGTCCTTGTTCCCTTAGCTCTTTCTTTGCTGCCTTCTCCTTCTCAATAACCTGCAAAAACACCAAACCATTAGTTGAACTTCTTAATAATGGACACGTCGGCATTAAGTCCTCTATAGAGAGGTTGTCCTCTCTTCGGAGGATAAAATTGCAGAGAACATTTGGGACCTCAGAGTGTGCCCTTTAACGAGAGGTTTCTGCTATATTTGGGGTGTCCTTTATCGAATGACCCTCTCCTGCACACCTTTCTTAGGTGGGTAGGCTTTTTAGCTTTCGGCTGCTCTCTTTCTTTCCCTCGTCTTGTGGATGGTGCTGTCGAGTCGAGTACATTCCGTGCTGTGGCTGAAACAGCCTGCATTAGAGAAATACAATTGTAGCATTGTGGATGATGATTATATTCTCCATACTTTGGTGGACGGTTTAGTGTCTTTTTTGTTCAGCACCGGTCTTACTGGTTGCTGCTTTACATACTGCAGGGAGGGACATACATTGTAGCATAGATCATTGCTATGTATAGTATAAAAAAAACTTTGGTGATCATTTCACCAAGAAAAGTTAGTGGATTACTTATTAGCATCAGTCCCATTCACATATTTTCTGAAATCAAAAGTTCTTCACTATCAGTGATTACACTTTTATACCGCAAATATATCCAACTGAGGTGGTTTGTCAAGCTTCTTTTCCTGAGGAGGTTCCTGGCCACCAGATTTCTTCTTCTTCTTTTTCTTTCTCTTCTGTCTCTGAGCAGCCCCCACATCCTCCTCCTCTTCTCCCTCACTGCTCCCTTCGTTACCACACTCATTAGCACCTTCTGTTGCAATCGTCGGCTCCTTCCTCCTTACAACGAGACTCTGTTTCAAATAATGTGAGTATACTGACTGTATATAATATAGCTGTAGGCTACGTTAGAGTCGCTTTATGTAGAGGATTCATGTTCAATTATTAAAGGAGATGGTTTCTTAGGGGTTTCTATGGGGAGTAGAAACCCACAATGTAAACTTTCACTCAACATGAACACGTGGGAGCATCCACAGTGTGTGAACACATGTATAATCTATACCACCAACAGTAGTATAATATAGTAAAGCTGATTTTCATAATGAGCTGAAACAATTGAGATGAGGCTTGGATTGCTTTGTCAAAGGGGTATGTTTGGGCAGCAGTAAGGGCTTGGCAATATTTTTACTATGCAAGTCTCAAAAACGATATTCTCCCCCCAAAACTGATATTGACCTTTTCTGTAGGAGCTCTCTTGACAATGGCACTCCATCCTTTGCCCTCTGGTGTGGCCGAAACAGAAGACGATGCACCCTGACTCCTCCCACTTTCCTCTCCACCAATACTCGGCCACTGACTATCACTTGATAAATCTGGTAAAGGAATTTCCTCACGAGGCAAACTGACCAGATTAGATTTTGATAAAGACTCGGTTTTTTGATAAACCCTTGTCTGACCGGTCAATCTTGTTTGTTCAACATCTCTCTGTCTCTGATTTGATGCAATATTTGCTCTTGAAGGCACGTTTCTAATGATTGGTGCCCCTATTTTGCTGTTTATCTCACTGCTACCAGCTTTCAGGGGGTTATTTTCAGGAGTAGCAAATGTGGTGATGGTTGATTCACCGTTCTCGTGATTGGTTGGTCGTCTCAGTAAACGTACCACTGTGTTCTTGTAATCACTTGAGGAAAGCTCCATGATTAGCTAGCTGCTAAGTGCTGGCCCAGGCAATATGTATCTTTAGTCACAGGCTCGACGTGTGAATACCATCAGCAACTTCAGCAGTCGTCACAGAAGTATTCACATTTCTTATACTGACGCTGTTGGACCATGAAAGCCACTGAAAACACGCTGACGCAACTGACAGTGCAGTGACAGACAAACACACGTGTATGGAAGGGGTGGGGCTGACCCCACCCCCATTCAGCGTTGTTCTAATTACCTGGGACTAAGAAATATTGAAAACGGAGCTCTCCCCCTCTCCTGGCCTGATCCTAGGCTCTAGTCCTAGTCTGTCTCTGAGAAACCAGCGACGCATGCAGGGACCCTTCAGGAGCCGTAGACAATGTCTTTCTCGTACGGCCTGCGTATGTTGCGGCTGGTCCCAGCGGCAGTGAGAGTCAGCGTTGCTGGCGTGGCTGCCTACGGCTCGGTTCAGGCTGGCATGTGGTCTCCGAGGACAAAGGACTCACGTGAGAAGCTGGACCAGTTGCAGAGAGAGATACACTATCCTACGGCCTCGGGGAAGGTACACAAGTCGTATACATGTGCATGTGGTATATCGACAGAATTTGGACACTTTCTCCTTTTCACTTCCAAGATTCGGGTTGTGTGTGACGTAAGAGTATGTTTTAGCATTACATTTTGTCTACTTTTTGTTGTGAGTGAGGCTTTACAGTTAGATGTAATGAGTTTCACAATCAACAAAGATTCTTTATCAAAGGTTCCAAGATGCTTTATAAGATCCTCTTGCTTGGTCGCTAAAACTTGTCACTCTACAGACCTTGCTCTCATCTGAGGGGCAGACCCTGACTTCCCAACTCGTTGAGGGCTGGAATGGCCTCGTGAGGACCGCCTTTCTCACCATAACCGGACAGAGTGGTGGGCTCCAATCAGAAACTCTGAACAGCGTGAAAGTCGGTCTAAAGAGATGGGGCTCCGAGATAAAGAAAGGTGTAACTGGTAGTGACAGCGGTGATGAAAAATCCTAGCCCTACCAGTTTTGTCTGTGCTGTCTTATGTTGTGTGTTTCCGAAGAACAACTTTGTTTGCTACCCGCGCATGCGCAGCTACCGCCACCCACGTGCGAACTTATGGGCGGAGCTGATAAGGTGCGCTTCAATTGGAGTGCCACGCTATGCCATGGCCGCGGTAAGTCACTTTCTTTCCTCTATAGGGCGCCTAGAACCTAACTAGTAACTATAAAAGAGCTTTGTATGGCCTTCTTTATTACTACTTTACTCTTTTAGCTCTCATCTGTTCTTATGGCTAGATATTTTTTATGGTCCCGTATATTTCCCCTCGTGTGGTTTGCCTTCGTCTCAGGCGCCTCCTCCAGAGAAGAAAAGAAAGGAGACGCTGCTCAGTGCAGAGTTGGGGAAGTTTCTGGAAAAGAAGATCAGAGTAAAATTTCAGGGAGGCAGAGAAGGTAATCCCCAATGCCCAGTTTTCTCACAGTAAACTAAAGTGCGTGTGTGTGTGTGTGTTTAGCGGTTGGCATACTGAAAGGCTATGACCAGCTACTGAACCTGGTACTGGATGGAACCATTGAATACTTGCAAGGTACGCCTAACTTGTACTCCTAATTCTATAGTAGCTTTGTTTTGGCTTTAACGTACTGTGGTATGTATCATGTTTCATAAGTGTACTTAGAGTGTAATAAAGAAACTGAGTCCCAAGCTCATGGGGTTTTCCTGTGCAATTGATGTGCTGTGTAGATCCAGACGATCCTTTCAAGATAACAGAGCAGACGAGGAGTCTAGGACTAGTGGTGTGTCGTGGTACGGCCGTGGTCCTCATATGTCCATCTGAGTCCATGGAACAGATCGCAAACCCCTTCCTCCAGATGCCAGAGGAAATATGACTCAGTTTTGATGCCGTGTCTCTTCTTTCTATACATTTGCACTTCCTCTTGACCATTGATGATGTCAATAGCTATGTACAATGATCACATTCTTTCTGAAAAAATAAACTTAAGTCAGGGACAAAAGAGATTGAGTATAATACAGGTTAAAACATGCTGAAAGAGTTATAAAAATCATGTATATATCATCACTAGAGTGTTGGTAGTAGGAAAAATAAGAAACTATTCCTGGTTTGATGCTGCGATGTTGGTTGCATTGATATGACTTTTGCAGCTCTTTCCACATCTGCATAATTAAGATTATGATCTGGAACTTATATATGAAGACAGAACTAAGCCTTACTTTGTCATGGAGCAGCAGATTACACCTACAATCACAAGGCACAGAAGAAAACCACCAATTGTAAATCCCATTATTAATCTTGGCGTGTGTTCTTTCTCCTCCTCGTCATCGTCATTGACTTCACCCAAGTCCTCAGATCCAGACCCCGAATGATAATTAGCAGACCCTGATCCCGGGTCGTCACCTGCTTGTTCTGATCCATCCCCAACTCCCAAGTTGAAAACTTCACGATTGTCCTCTTCTTGACTCTGATAGCTTGCACTGGCCGACAGGGATGGGACTTCTGGAAGGTTTGCGTCGAGAATAACATGTTGGTCACCGTGGCTCTATAACCATCCCAAACATTTTAGTCCCCTTTTGTTTGAAGCTTATTATGTAATACCACATTCACCCTCTTCACCTGGGAGCTGTCTAATGACAAAGCTACACAGCATACAAGACTAGCAACATTGTCACAGCAAAAATGGATACCATAGGAGGGGCCTAGTGCTCTGAATCACCCGCATGAGTACAAAAACAGCCTGCAGCAACACGCGACGAGAGGTCTGGGCGCGGAAGCTCCGCGCTCGTGGGTGTGGCTCCGCCAGCCACACGGCAAACAAGGCAGAGGGTTTTCCCCGCAATCAACACAGTAGGAGGGGTGGGCGAACAAGGCCTCGGTCGCCTCTGTTTACTGTTTCTTTAGAGCTTACCTTTAGTCACAAACACAAGGAAGACAGCCAAAACCAACAGTGCCAGAGGCCACATCGCTGAGATGGTTTGGAAACTCATTGCACCGTCTGTCTCCTGTCCCCTCTTTCCTCTGGTCTGCTGCAGTGGCAACGCCCGGCAGGGGAAATCCCGTCCGCGCCTCCTTGGGAAATTCCCCTACTTGCAGTCTACGCATGCGCGTCGAGTACGCTATGCCCCTGCGCCAGTGTGAAACCGTTATGAGAAATCTCGCCAATAATGTTCGAATTCACTATCTAAGAAGATGGTTTTCTTCGTCCGGCTCCTCCCTACCAAACTTCATAGTTCGCACGACAGCAAGTGCCGACGAAACGAGAGATATCGTCGGCACGCGGGCCGCAGCGTGGGGAAGAAAACCCGGAGCTCTGGACTACGATATCTATTATGCCACCGACAATTCGGGTTTCTACGTCGGAGAATTGGACGGGAAACCGATTGGGTGCATGATGGCGGTCAAATTTTCTAAAAATTTCGCCTTCCTCGGAAATTTTATGGTTGATGAGCCCTACCGTGGCCAGGGCTTTGGTTCCACAATATTCCAGACGGGGATTGCATCTTTGCCACAAGAATGTAATTTTGTTTGTGATATCCACGAAGAGAAGATCCCGCTATTCGAGACACGATATGGGTACACATTAGCATGGAAGGCCAAACGTGTTAGTGTCATTGCATCATCGGCATTCGATTCCAACTCCCCTTCAGTTAAAATTTTCAGTGCCAATGAAATACCCTTGGCAAAAATTTTGGCCTACGATACCAGATTTTTTAACTTTGACCGTCACTTGTTCCTAGAAAAATGGATTTCTGCCCCAAACTGCCATTCCTTTGCAGCCATTGACTCCAGTGGATCGGTAGTAGGCTACTCGGTGGTACGTTCTACTCTTTGGAAAGAAAACGGATGGAGGATAAGTCCACTCTATGCTGACAACGCTGAAATAGCTCATAGTCTCTACCAGGCTATTTTCAACAAAGTTGCCTCTGAAGATGGTCCAGCACAAGTAACATTTGACGTTCCTTGCATCGACAAGGATAATTTCGCCTCTTTACAACTTGCCCATAAACTGTCTGCAAAAATAGATGAACACATAGCAAGACAGTTTAGGTATCAGGTTCCATCAAACTTGCCACTTAGTGAAATTTTTGTGACGTAGGGCATTTTTAGCTAGTCCACCTCCTCATGTCGTGTTGGTAAAACAACTCCAATTGTGATGAATTTTGTGAGCCTGGAAAACTGGTGTTGGCATCCCCATCCTGGTGGTGTTACATCAGCTTCTTAGCGGATATGAACAGTCATGAATATTGTCGTCATTATAAACAATTAATTGCTACAATACATGATACTGACAGAAAAATAGTAGTGGAGTGTCATTTTACCGACAACAGCTACAATCAAAAACCCTCTTGCAAAATGCACGATGACTATATACCATGTGCATTATGACTCTCATAGATTATAACAGGGGGGAGCTGCACTGTGATGAGATTCAGGTGCAGTCTTTGGTTTTGGTCGTCCCTCTCTTGTTGCAACAGATGAGAGCCACCAGAATGAGGATGGTAACCACCATGGCTGTGCAGAAACAGACACACAGAGCTATGGAGACAGTCAGAAGTCGACTGTAGGCAGTGTCTATGAGGGCAAGATCACTTTGACAAGTGTCTAGCAGTTCGGCCATATCGATGTTGTCTGTACTAGACACAGTTGTAGTTGGTGTAGATTCAGAAGCCACTGAGACTGGCGTTTGTATAACGGATGTTGAAGTTGAAACGGCTGAATTAAATGTCTTTGTTGCTTTTGGTGTAGCTGCACTACTCCGTACGGGTGTAGTTGTGTTGGTCGAGGGAGATATTATGATGGGTTGCGTGTCAGCCTTGTAAGCAAGCATGTCGAGGCTGACATGTGTGAGATTGGCAATGTTTTCCAGTGAAGACATGTTGAAGATCATGGCAAGACCGACGCACCCTGTGCCCTGCTCACAGACACGAACTTCTACGACCAGCATTTCGTCGTGTGAGTACATCACTGGGCATTCTTTAGTAGACGGACACAGTACTGCATGTGTATTTGGAAGAACAAGTGTTGCATCGTTAATGATCCCTTCGTTTCTGACGTTCACTAAGGCTAGCTCGACATTGATACACACAATTCCAGACTCCATTTGTTCAATGTAGCAGTAATAGTGAAGGTTTTTGGAGGCAGTTACAAACTCCCCGTGGATTATTAGTAGCGCGACGCCACATGGTGGAAGTGTTGAAACTCGTACACTCGTTCATCTTCGTCCCCACTTGGTTCGAAATTCAGACCGTGGATTGTTACCGTTGTCATGCCACCGGAGTGGTTCGTTGCTATGGCAGCAACTCTACCGTCGTGGGCAAACGAGACATGACCGGTTCGGTTCCAAAGACTACTTGTGTACAGTTGGTACTCGAGGTAGCTGAAGTAGAAAGTGATGTTAGTACACACTATAAAGAGGGTCTGTTTAACTTCATTGAACTCTATCGACACTATCTGGCTACAAGGCTCTGGAGTGGGGATAGTGAATTCGAAGAAGTCGAGTAGTTCCTTGAAATAGACGATATTACCGACAGCCAATGCAACGTATGTCACCTTGTACGAATAATGATAGTCGTCAGCACTGACGAACAGGATGTTACTCATTTGAGATAGATCGAACCATTGAGGGCTGTACACTAGCAAGTCGTATTGCCCCTGTTTTCCCCAGTTCCCGTTACTATACTTTTCTATATGCCGACACGTAACCACGACTATTGGTTTCATACAAAACAAAGAGATACTTTTCCCCACCAAGGTCCCTTGCTTCAAGCTTTAGAGGGGTTTGGCCAATCTCTATTCTGTGATAGTTTGGGGTCTCGGTATTCAGAAGAAGGACGATAACAGCTTGTCCTACAGCTATATAAGCATGGTGACCATCGACTGTGTACACATATTGCTGAGGAGTTGAAGATAGCTCTTGGAGAAGGTCCGGTGCTATGTTGAGACCAGAACCAGTCTCGGGGACCAGGAATGGGTTAGTGCTAGACTCAGTCGTGACGGAATCTCTGTTGATTGGAGTCAGTCGTGTCAGCGAGGTATTCTTGGTCGTGATTTCCAGTGCATATAGCTCTCCTCCGGATATAAAGTACTGGACTCCAATCCGATACACTCCTGAGTTACCGCGTAAAAATTGAGTAGCAACTAGCAAGGCAGTTAATAATAATGCTCCGAAGTGATACTCACCGTTCTCCGCTGCAGTATTCTGCTGCAGGTTCTGCAGCTGGGCGGACGGATTTGGTATCACACTGCACTTGCAGTGCTGAATTACCATCGCGGCGAGCGCCGCACTGCACCACAGTATACGAATCGCCACCCCCGCGTACATCTTGTATCGTCAAATGCGACGGAACTGAAACGTTCTCGTCCATAAATTTACATGAGCCGGGGGAAAGTCCCGGGGGTTTCACTGCGAACCATGAATATTCTGTCCACATGCCGACGCCTTGGCTACAATTATGCATTGGCGCAACATGAATTATATATAGGTTTTATGGCCAGTGTCTGGAAAGTTCTAGTGCAAAAGATAGACGACTATACTATACACATGTGTATAAACGTTGCATCATCTGAGTAGCTATTTTTAGCACTTAGTTTTACCCTGGGTATGCCCCTTCGACATTCTTCTTGAGAATGAGTGTGTCATCAAAACATTCATGGCTTGAGCCATACAAATAGCTACACCTAATAATGAACAATCATAACAGCTATTCATGAGTCAAGTGTCCGCACGTTAGGTTGACTTTGCACTTCGTTCATTCCTCACTCACACCTTGGTAGCTCTATCAGTCAAATAATATTCCCTCAGAATAGTGGCTCATCAAGTACTTGATAAACCGCTGAATCCACACACTTCTTTACAATAAGATGATTATCCATTGAGCTCAAAGAAAACACTTCAGGTAATAAGGATTCTGGAAGCTCAATTTCTTTGTTTCCACTATTTTCAGATTTAACAATACTATCTTCAATAACACGACAGGTGATAGTTGGTTGCATATACTGAATAAAGCAAAAGTAGTGTTTATTTTGAGAGATTGTAACAAACTCTCCACTAACAATTCCATTTCGACGATTGACTTCATGTAAGTGCGGATCTTGAACAGCAGATTCATTTTTTTTGCGATGTGCTATAGGAGGCTCGGTGTTCAAGTTCACTTCTATAATATCTGTACCAAAAGGAATGTAGACATAGTTTTCACGAAATAAAGGTGGATGGTTTCCTCCTAAAGTGGTGAAATTGTGGTTGGTCGGCTCTGTACTGGACACATCTTCCTCACCCAAAAAGAGCCTAGTGAGCTCGACCAGACTGTCTTTATTAGAAAAATACAGCACATACGGATCTTCGACTTTACTCAAGAAAGAGTAGAGTCCATAATCAAACCCTGCAGGAATGCAATGCACAGTATAGCTATATTATAATATACTGCTTGGCGCCACACTGGAGCGCGAACTATGCGGCCTATACGCACATTCACTCGGTACTATAATTATACTATAATTATATACGCTTACCGTCATTTGCTGAACAGTCAGCTTGCTCCCGAGGAAGCGGTGCTGCGCAGCATGCATGAAAAAACAGAATTACGATTGCGGTAAATTTGTTGCTCCCTGGCCACATAGCGAACCGCACGATCATCCTTGCAACTGGCAGTTTGCTAGTATTTTAGTCTTTTTATGAGAGCAGTATAGATCTCCGCCGGCTCTGTTTCGCAAGGCGCGAAAAAATGGCGCATGCGCAAAAGGTTCCGCTGGGATATATAATACCCGGCCACCTCTCTATCTAGATCTGCTGGTTGACGATAAACACACGGAGCAAGTGAACTCTTGTTTTTCTCACATGACCATACCCAATACGAAAAGTGTAAACAGAGTCTGAAAAATATCACTCATCCGTTTGGTAGTGTATATGAATGACAGCAGCTTCATGTAAGATGCAAGCTTGTCCGAGCACATCAACAGGTACAACTTGTAGCTAGTTCGACTCTGAGCCGGCAAGATAGTAGGCGAAACCTGTTCTACAATATCCACTATTTCTCCACAGTTTTGTGCGATTGCAGTTTGGTCCCACAATTTCTCTGTAGCCTTTCCACCCATTGCAGATTAGCTTGATGTATAAGTATCCGATGTGCACAGCTGCTGCAAGTTCATACGCTATTTGCCTCTGCGTAACATTCTATCCATCACCAGACCAACACAATGCACAGGTAAAACAACTAAAGATAATTATTATACATAATGGACTAAAGCACAATACTGGATATCTTAGTGTTCCAAGCAATAGTCACTCCAAGAGCCCTAGTCAGCAACCTATGTATGGGAGTGAGACAACACGCAGAACTTTTAAAAAATTTTCATAAAGGGACTAAGGGCTTTTGATATTGTACGCACCTCACAGATAAGCTACGTAAACAAAATTGTACTTGCATAGTAAAATAGCTTGCAAAATGGTGTCATGGGTACTGAAAGGGAATGTGTCAGTACCTAAGGGCTAAATTTAGACATGTTACTAAAGATAGAACTAAACAATGGGGCATGCAAGCATGCAATTACAGTTCCATTTTAGTAACAATTTCTTAGTATACTGAGACATTCTCTTTAAAAAATAAAAATGTGTGTCAGCTCATGTAGTATATACCTGGAATATCCTGATGGTGTTAATGTTGGCAGGTCCCGGTCGCCAGCCACTGAGGAGGACAATGGTGGACCCCTTGAAGATGTACCCCTCCTTACGTCCCTTCTCCAGTCCAGCCAGAAGTCTCTGGTCGACGTCCTCGAACCAGTTGGTGCTGACTGGGGACTCGTAGAGTAAGGGGTGGACTCCTCTATAGAGATGGCACTGACAAAGGAAAGGGGAGGGAGGGAGGGAGGGGGAAGATAGATGTAAAGTGGGTGAAGGGGTAGGGCAGGTGATGGAAACACGAATGGACAACTTCAAAAGAGACTTCCGTCCAAAAAGGCAAAAATTAGGGAGAAGGAAAATGGAAAAGTGAGAAAGAGAGGGAAGAGTGCACCATAAAAGTGGGTGCCCGTGTGTGTGTGTGTGTGTGTTAGTTCAACTCACAATTCTGGCTGTACGTGGTGTCCTCGTCACAGCAATGATGGGACATCGCGGCCGGTACTGAGACAACACAAACGCAGTTCTGCAGGAAACACAAAACCTTTTCTAGATTCAGTACACATGAACATGTCAATGCTGGCATACAGAGATTGAGTATAACGGCCACTAAACGTAAACTTGACGGCACAAACTTTTGCTATTCTGGTGCCTGCATTGTAAAAACCTACACGTACAGTAGCTTGTATATGCATAATCCTAGGGTGGTTGCTGCAGTAAAGGTAATTAATAGACCATCTATAAAAGTGACAGAAAAGTCACTATTTCAGAGACTAGATGGCTGCACACCCAATAGGATATACATGTACTATGCTTCGAATTGAGCGAAGGTGTAAAGAAACGTATGACGCACCGTCCAGTGGTGGTTAGGGTGATAATAGCCGCAGCCATCTGAGCGAATGAAGCATCGACTGCAGCGATAGAAGTGGTCTGTACTGTGGTGGTGGGCTTGGGAGTCAGTCTACGGAGTTCGTTGAATTTGTCGCGGTGGAACATAGCTGCCTCTGCCTCCAGGGCTATCTTACTCATGATCTTGACAGCCTGGAGTGGGTACTTGCCTAAACAGGGCCGAGACAGAGAAGAAGAAAGGGAGAAGAGGGTGGGAAGATGAATAAGTAAACGGGAAAGAATAGAGGGAGAGGAAGATGTTTCCCGTTTCTCAGTCGTGGAGCCCACCCATATTACTCATGAGCATGCTCAATATCAGTGTGTGTGTAGTGCGCATGATTGAAATGACAATATAGCATGATTATGACAACGATAATGTACGTGTAGTGTAGAGTGCAGTCATCACACAGAGAAGGTTAGGGAAGGAGAGAGTCAGCGGAAAAAAGTGATGGAAGGAGAGAGAGAAATAATTATTAGGGAGAGAGGGAGAAAAGGCGCAATTCCTAGAAAGTGATCTACACATGGAAAATTATAAAATCTCTTTACCTTTGGCAGTCTCTCCAGACAGCATGACACAGTCTGCTCCATCCAGTACAGCGTTGGCAACGTCGCTGGCCTCCGCCCGAGTCGGGCGTGGCTTCTCCACCATGCTCTCCAGCATCTGGGTGGCGACGATGACCGGTTTCCCCGCCCGGTTACAGCGAGCAATCATCATCTTCTGGGCAATGAAGACTTTCTCCGGTGGAATCTCGATACCCAGGTCGCCACGGGCAACCATGATCCCGTCACTGGCACGCATGATCTCGTCAAAGTTCTTGACTCCTTCCTCGCTCTCTATCTGTGAGGTCACATGATAGTCATGTGACAGTCACGTGACAAGAACCACCACATACATCCTACTGGTTTCTGTTCAGCAAAGGCCTAAGCATTGGAACATCATCTACACACAGATGCAAACAAGTACTATTGAAGATGGTTTGCCTACCATTGAAGACAGAGCAAAGAAATAATTAATATGAAGCAGCAAACCAAACACTTTTTAACACTGAATACACTAGCTTACTAAACTGAAATGTACGTATACACAAACAGAAACAGGAATAACTACCTTCGCTATAACGGTATATACCACAAACTCGTGTATATATACCTTTGAGACGATGAGGATGTGTTTCCCCTTGTCTCCCAGAACACTCCTGACGGCGTCCACGTCTTCGGCCTTCCTGATGAACGAGGCAAACACCATGTCAACGCCCTGCTCCACCCCAAACTTGAGGTCACTGATGTCCTTCTCCGAGACTGCCGGGAGGTCCACGTCTTTACCCGGGAGGTTGACTCCCTTTTTGGAGCCCAGCTTTCCTCCATTCTGGACCTCTGAAACAGAGAGGAAATTACAGTAACACTTTCAAATTAACCCTTAGCAAGCCACGGCCATATATATATATATATATATATATATATATATATATGCCCAGAGCCTCCGTAATAAATAAGAATTTATATATGGCTATAATACTAGGCGCTATTGTGTTATTTCTGCTTATTTAAGGAGACACATATGGTGTCCAAAAGGTAGTTCTTTCTTAAAAATGAAACACAAGGTGTCGTCTTGGATGCCGTCGAATCGTTTGACTATGCGCTTAAGCCTTGCATTGATACCTCGTGGTTCAAGCTTGCTTATTTCTATTCCTGATTCCCGAGACACTGAAACACGTTTCAAACCTGTCAGAAGATAGTCCACTCCTTTCTCAACGACCATCACGGAAATCAGACCGTCATCGATAAAGATGAGATCACGGACTGCCGTTGTGTTGACGATGTTGACATAGTCCACGTAGATGGTCTCGTTGTCTCCACAGTCGTAGTAGCGTTTGTCGGTCGAGAATTTGACTCTGTCGCCTTGTTTTAGCTGTATTTCAGCTGAACCACCCTGTACAGAGCATGCAGGGAGTAGGAGGGAGGGAGGGGTGGGAGGGAGGGAGGGGAGGGGAGGGAGAGGCAGAGAGGAGGGAGCGAATGGAAGAGTATACACACACAGGGAGGTAGAGAGGCAGAAGGGCTGGGTAAAGGACGACAAGAGGGTGGAAATCATATCATACTCGCACCCACAACAACTCCTTGTACACTCGTACGTAAATATCATGTTCAACTACGGACAGTATAAACAACGTTATAATAGTTGGGAACCGCTCTAATCTGGACACCAAATGGTTAGTCCGTACTAGTGAGGTGTCCTTATTTCAGTGATTAAATTGAATGCAAGAAATTGCAGAACAGGTGTCCTTACTAGAGAATCAAGGTTCCATTGTATACATGAAAAGTATATTTATAGCATACTAGCCACAGAGAATAGAAAAGAAAGAAAGAAAACCATAAGTCACCCTCCAACCCCCATCCTCCACCCACACACAGACACAAACCACACAGTTGCACACAACCGGCAGGACACCAGGTGCCCAGCCTTGAGAACTGGGGCGGTGGGTTAAAGAGCTTTTATGGCCCATAATAATCGTAGTTCCACCACATTATTCAGATTAAGGCCTCCCACAGGCACATGTGTACTGTGACTCACTTAGACTTGGAGAGGTTCCACTGTATACACAGATTAAACCAATAATAATCGTAGTTCCACCACTATTCAAATAAGGCCTCCCACACAACATATCATGCGTGGAGTAAACCTCCCACAATATCGGTAGTGCAGACTCACTCCTTTCAGAAGACCGGTACGTATCTCTGGGCCCTTTGTGTCCAGAGCAATGGCCACAATTCTGCCTTCTACTCTCGTTATGGCCTCACGCACATTGGCTATGGTCTGAGCATGGTACTGTTGGGGGAGGAGGAGAGTTATGTCATAATGATGTAATTCATCGTGCATAAAAATTCAGGGGCAATGTTTTGTAGAGACTTACAGCAACAAACGTATGTCAATGATCGATGTAAATACCATTATATCTTGCAGGTTATGTACATGTAACAAACTTTTGCAGTGTTAATTTCACAAATCAGGCACCATGTAAATATCCCACGAATCTTAAGTAACTGGACAGGGGAGGGTTTGTGTCCACTACATACATTGTACCTCGTGTGTTCCGTGGGAGAAGTTAAGTCTAGCAATGCAGAGACCCATCTCAATGAGGGAGACTAGCTTGTTAACATCATTTGATGCTGGACCTGCACATCGTATAATTACACCATACACATCACTCATATTGCACACCAGAAATAAAGTATGAAACCAAGTCTCAGAGCTTGAAACCTGACCACGAAAGTGTATCCCAAGTCTTCAGATGTTAAAAAGCTGGTCGACAGTTTCAGAATTATTCTGTCTGTTAAGAGCTGGCCAAACTATTATTGAGTGAGTCCCTTCTTACATGACAATCAATTTTAAAATGTTTCTTCTGAGTTTCTCCGAAGTTTCCCACTACTCATACAGCTACTTATTGGCTTGTGGAGCCCAGAACACATACAATCGTGAGTCCTTGGTAGGAGTGTCCAATAATTGTGTAACTTGATACGGCCAAACGTATGTTACGTGTACTCCAAAAGGTTGTGTACCAGCTAACCTCTAACAAACTCCCTTGGCATGATATACAGTACACAGCTGGACACAGCTACGCATAACGCTAAGTAACCATGGACTGCATATACAGAATGTTTATTATGTCTTATGGAGGACACCACCAATACAAACTGTAGGAAGAGGGAAAAATGACGGAATTCACTGGACTTTTCCCAAACGATCTGCTTTCAATAGGTAACAATGCACGTATCCAGTTGAAAGGAAATCATACAGTGAGGTGTACAGATGTCTGGCACATGGCAAGAGCATGCACACCGCAAAACCCAGCAGATTGTATAGTTTTGCCAGAACGCTTCGAGAAAGACTTGAATTACCTCATGCCTTATTTGCAAACATGGTTAACCTCCAAATACGCAATTGTGAGGAAAAGTAAACTACTCTCCTAGTACACTAAGGGCAATGCAGCTGCGTGTAAAACCACCACTTTTTCAGTATTGTTTTAGGCCATAATCCTTGTGTTCGTGTGCACACACTAGCCTTCTCGAGCGCTCTGCTCATCTCGCTGCTGGCTTCCGAAGTCTAATTAGTGCTCACCCACCTATCGTGCAGATTATGCCAGTGTTCCGGACGACGTGCGGGGCGCTGAATATGTCGAGGAGAGAGAGGTTCTCCAGCCGGGTGTTGGCCATCTGGGCAGCCAGGTGGGGCACGTCCAAGTCTCCCAGGGTAGTATCCGTGGAATAGAGGCGTCCCTGACGACCAGGCAGCTGGAGCAAGTCAGACTCCGACGGCAAGGGACTGGGCGCCATTACCAGGAGCTCCCTCTCAGAAGTAGAGGGAGCGATGAGTTTCGGCATGTCGCCTGGACTGAACACGGGGGACCCGGAGTCTTCTGAACCTTTACGCTCGCTTGCCATTTCTTCTGTTCTGCTGCTGCTCTACCCGGCTACCGCAGGAGGGCCGCTGATATATTGCTTGCTGATATATATACGGATAATTTCCAGAAGTGTACGGAGATAAGCTAGGAATTACTGAGTAATCCGGAATTTCTGAAACATAAAGGGTCCCCGAACGGACGTTCTTTGCGTGAATAGACTGGAACAAGAGAGAGAAAAGGAAGGATGCTATTCACTGACAGGGCTGCAAAGGATTGAGAGATGGCGGACGTAAGTTTGCCTACCATGTCCGTGGAAACTATCTCTAGCTATAATATTGTGCAAAAATAAGGGGGTGGGGCTGGCCTGCAGACACTCGGTAGGGGGCGCGCCGCGTATTTGCTCCTTTGGGAAGTTGAGTCTGCAAAGGAGCAACGAGAATCCTCTCGCAGTGGTAGTAGTACATTCAGAGCTAACTCTAGATACTAGGTAATCTCCACTGATGCAGGGGTGCAAACACAGGCGAATTCATTAACACTTTATAAAGGCCTTTCATCCACCTGCGAAGGGGCATGTAGTGAGCCGAAGACAATGAGCTAAGATCAGTGTATATAGATCAGAGCTCCATGGAGTAGATTATCAGCATAAAAATTATTGTCAGCTCCACTACATACACTGAGATTCTGAGATTTGATCGTGGTAAAGAGCAAAAAAGAAAGCTTTTACCTAAAAGCTCTTTTAGCTCCTAGATTGCCATTGAACTTTCTCTTCATTAAACCCTTATTAAACTGAGTCTAATTCAATTCTACACTAACTGCATACTCTCTCTCGTGCTCCCACAGCTCGAAGTTCTTGAACTCACGACTCTAACGTCTTCCTCGGCCGATGACTTTGCAGTCCTCCGTCCCCTGGGCTACGGAGCCAGTGGCATGGTGGTAGCCGCCACCTGTAATAGGCCCGGGGTGCCCACACCGGACAAACTCTACGCCGTCAAACTCCTCTACAACTTCTCGCACGAGTACTCATCTGTGGTCTTGAATAATTCCCTGGAGAACGAATGGCTTGTTCTCTCGAGGCTCTTACCCCATCCAAACATTGTGAGGTTCTGGGCACAGTTTGTGAGTCCGATCCCGCGATCATTCAGGAACCTCCTCCCAGAGGAACTGAGACCAAAGAGCGTATATAGAGATCGCTCTGGGGTTTCCCGGCCTCGCAGGGGGCAATTCCTCGTCCTGGATCACCACCAGAAGAACCTGGCCGACTGGATAAACCAGTCTTCCCTGCCAATTTCCTATGACATCACCCTAAAGATCACAGAGCAGGTGCTGCATGCTGTTCTTTACCTGGAGAAAAACAGAGTCCGACATCTCGATATAAAACCTTCTAATGTTCTCATTCAAAACGGGAATCGACCGGTTCTGTGTGATTTCGGGTGTGCCGTGCAGTTCCCCGACAGTTCTTTTGTACTGGAGTATTCCCGCGGGGTTCACGTGGGGGGAAACAGGGCTCACCTGGCGCCCGAAGTCCTCACTTCTGCCCATCGCTGCCGACACGAACCGTCGAGACACAAAACAATAGACTACTCCAAACAGGCTTCATTTGCAGTCGGGGTCCTCGTTTGCGAGATAGCGACAGGGGATCACCCACTCCCCGACTACCCCCTAGGGTTCACCTCATCAGGAGCGGTTCAGTACACCGCACGTGATATAGTACCACTCCCAGAGTTCTTCCCAAAGAGTTTCCAGTCGATTGTGGCAGATCTGTTGCGGTGTGACCTGGGGAAGAGGCTGGACCTGGGAGAAGCTGTGAAACAGTTGGAGCTGTGTTGTGTGAAGAGACAGAGAGTGACGACTGTGGGAGACCTGCAGGTGGAGTTGAGGAGAGTGAAACAAGAGAGAGACATTGCTAAGGTGGGTTGGAGTAAGAGAGAAGGGAGGGAGTTGGGGCACATGTATGAGCTGCTATAGTTGTGCATAGTATGAAAGTTGTCCTTGGTGTAATGTGTTGCTTGCTATGCCTTTGCCTTGAGACTTGTTGTTGTCCGCATGAAATAGGGTGTGTAAGTACAATAAATGGAAGTTTGAAGAAAGGAAAACAGTAGTTTTGGAGAAAGAGCTCTTGAACAGTGTAAATTGTAAGTGAACTTGCTATGTTTATTGCAAAGTGGGTTTAAAAAACAAAGACTGGGTTCAATCTGTAAATGGGACGTCTCATCTGCCAACAGGCCAAGCTGAGTGCGGTGGCAAGTGAGAGGGACAGTGCAGTCAGGGAGCTGCGAGCCATGGCCGAGCAGTGCCAGAAGGTGGTCTCCGAGTTTGACTCTCTTGCACAGCACTGTGACACTCTCTCCAGAGAAAACAAGAGGGTATGCTTCAATAGGGTGACCCCTCTCATCCAGACACCATTAGACAGAAGGAATGGTCCTTATTAGTGAGGTGTCCTTATTTCGAGGGTTAGCTTATTGCATGTGTTATAGCACAGTACCTAGGCGTTCGCAATCCCCTCATGAACACCATGCAAGGTATAAACTAGGCTATTATTCCTGTTTACACGGTGCTCGAGAAAACGTTTTAAGTACGATTTCTCATGCTATGATGTATGTCTTCTAATCCTCATAATGAATGTGTCCTCGTAATTATCAGTACCGGAGGGAGAGGGATGGGGCAGTGGCAGCTATTGAGAGTGCCTACGAGGCCAGTCACCTACTTCAGGGGCAGCTAACACTGGTCACCAGAGAGAGAGACCTGGCCCAGAGTAAAGTATGTGTGCTAGTGGAGGGAATTGGTAGGAAAGGGGAATATTCACGTTTTGAACGTCATTGGACTGGTTTAACGTATGAAAAAGTTTATGGGCAGAAACTTTTGAAATTCAGTAGTAACAATAAATTTTTGTCGCTGATTGCTAGCCCAGTTCACAGAAAACGTCCGCAGACTCACAAAATGGCGAAGAGTAGTACATACACACACTTTCCTCCCAAGAACCTTTCCACTGTATGCCAGCCCTAACTATCTATATATACTTGTCATACTTCTGGTCTAAACATGTGTTGTTTGCTCTTGTGTGTATATATACCACAGTGTGAAGAGCTGCAGTCACTCAACAAGAGAGCCAGCCTCAAGGAGCCCATCGTGTGAGCCCTGACATTATTCACACACCAACAATGCTTCAGATGACAGTCACACCTTCCCTATAATAAAATTTCTGTTTTGCCACAAAGACAGGGATTTGTGATGCCATTTCTCCCCACCCAGATTTTTTGGTATGATGTTGGATATCCCTAGGCAACCGACATATATGAAGTTAGGTACTGGGGGATTGTATCAGCCTATACAATCCTACATGTGCAAGAAGGGTTCATACATGTCATTTGCCTAGGGATATCCAACAAATATGTTGCAGTACCCAGACAGGACAGCATTCGCCCTTACAGAGCTCATACTGTCCTGTCTGAGCACTGCAACATTATACATACAATCCTACATGTGCAAGCAGGGTTCATACATGTCATTTGCCTAGGGATATCCCACAAATATGTTGCAGTACCCAGACAGGACAGCCATTCGCCCTTACAGAGCTCATACTGTCCTGTCTGAGCACTGCAACATTATACATACAATCCTACATGTGCAAGCAGGGTTCATACATGTCATTTGCCTTGGGATATCCCACAAATATGTTGCAGTACCCAGACAGGACAGCCATTCGCCCTTACAGGGCTCATGCTGTCCTGTCTGAGCACTGCAACGTATATATACACCAGGGAGTGTGGGAGATGCAAGGGGTTCTATCTTGAGTCAGAGAACAGCAGCTCTGCATGTCTCTGGCATCCCGGAAAGGTCAGTAACTGTTCAGGAATTATCCATGCTCTCTGCAGCTTACTTCAGTTCTTTCTCTGCATGTACCTTTGCCGGATATATACACTTCAACACTTTCTTTATATAGCATGTAAGTTACACTTTCTCTGTCTTACAATGTGTATATACCATGTTTGTTCCTATTTCTGCATGGTGGATGGTTATATATTACCTGCCATTACCATCACTCCCAGCTCTTTGTAAGTTACTACCATAGTGCCATAGCTATTACGTAGTTCATTTTCATTCGTTCCACACAGAAGGTGAGTTTCATTGGAAAGTGTTTTATGTCGTTCACTCTTCTTTGTTTCAAAACTGGACATGTGGACAACAACCATCACCCCCATCAAACAGAGGGTAAGTCCCTACTACTTAGATTAAACCCGCGGAACCTCTGAAATGGTACCCATTATTAATAACCCTTTGGATGCCATGGGTATCTGCTTAAATAAGCAGAAAATGATGTGTAAGGTATTAGCACCTAGTATTTTAACCCCCATATAATTTCTTATTGACTTATGGAAGCTGCAGACACATTTATATACGTGCCCATGGCTGGTTAAGTGTTGTAAATGCATGCCTCTCAAGCAGGTTTTCCCAGGTTCACATGACTGTGCGTATGAGCACAGGCATGGCGGATGTATAGCTGTGACTGATACCAAATCAGACTTCATGACTGTATGTATGTATTGCAGTGGAGTTGCTGTTACAAGACGGACCCAGTGGCTGTGGGGTGCAAGACTAACACCCACATTCCAAAACTATAGTCAATTAATGATCATTTTTATAGTCGGTTAAAAATTTGTGAGTTTCTGCCGACACTATTTTACATCTGCATGTCCTGCAGTTATAAAAATGTTTCGTGACAAAGACACCACTGACTGCACCAGACATAGTGTTTGCAGAAACTCATACAATCCTGCGACTTCCATGCACATTGTGCATTTTATATACACAACACTAATTTAGGTGATTCGTGGAAGTTTTGTTGGTGCAGTTACATATAGGTCTGTATAAGGCAATGTGGCACTAAATTTCTAAAAACAGAAACTTTGCATTCTTGTACTGGACCCTACTTTTTCGTTCTATCATTTAGCTCTTATGTACTGACACATTCCCTTTAAGCAGATACTAAACTTTATACTTGCTCTGTCACAAGTTAGGTCCACAAAATCAATGATAATTATCATCATCATAATTATACAACGATAAGAGAGTCATTCATGTAACATTATATAATAATCGACCAAACAAACAAACTCTGTGTACATTGCACACAGAGTTTGCCAGCGTATAGTTGCCTCAATAACCAGCAAAACAATAACAATTAGTATATCAATCAGTCAATCACCATGGGGAAATGATTGTATATCATTGCCATAGCAATGGGGGTTTCCCCACTTGCCCCGAGGGCAATCGGTCAGTTTCTGTTCTGGAGCATGAAGTGACTCATGAAAGAAGCGAGTTTTTGAACGTCTTCGCAGGAGATTGCGTTGTAGAGACACACTCTTATGCCACCGACCGATCGATGACCCTGTGGAGAGTTGGAGCTAGATACACAAAGTTTATTAACACGTATATATTTCGCGTGTGAATGCATTCACATTCACTCTGCGTGTGAAACTCGCGTGTGCGAAATTTCGGACACCCAGGACCCAAATGCGCATGCTTGTGTGCCTTATACATTGTGTCCGACGGTTACTGTAAGTCTGTGTGTAGGTATTTTTATAAGACCAAAGATGAATGGTGAGATAATGGAAAAGACAAAGGTAGAAGTGAGATAGGAGGAAAGATCAAAGATTGGAGCGGGATAGGGAGCGACAGAGTGAGGGAGATTCGTGACAAGCAAAGAAAACATAGCTACCTTCAACTGAACAAGTCCCAGAGCAGCAGCGTCACTTAGGAACTTTGCCTCGAGGTCAGAGTTCGCTTCCCCGGCAACAGTGATTCGGAACGGAATGTTGACGTGCGAACAGAACCGGCGCTCCACGGGAATGCGGTAAAACCCGCCCGACTGGTCAATCACGCTTATCAGGCTCTGGAACTTGGCCACACGGTTTCTCTCCATAGCTGTAATAGAAAGAAAAACATTTCGGTCATAACGACTTCAACTTAGATCATAATGGACCTATAATCTATCCATTATAGTGATAAGGGCTGCATGTACACAAACTATATAATGCATCTGCAACACAGTAGCAGCCACTAAGTACACGTACAATGTGCCAAATGTCAGGCAATGTTGATGTACGTATTCGCGTCTGCATTAAAGTTGCATGACGAAAATCTCAAGCATTGCTAAGAGTGTGACTTTCACTCATGAAAATACAGTAGATACAAGTCTATGGATATAAGACAGTATGTACACATTATATACCCTCAACTCCTCCATGTTTCTGGATCCATTTGAGGACCAGGTTGAGAATATAGACACTCCATACTGGTGGAGTGTTGTATACCGACTTGGCCTTCGCTGTGACCTGATGTGGCACGCAGAGAGAGGGAGGAGAGGGAGGAGAGGGAGGAGAGGGAGGAGAGAGAGGAGAGAGGGAGGAGAGAGAGGAGAGAGGGAGGAGAGGGAGGAGAGAGGGAGGAGAGGGAGGAGAGAGGGATGAGAGGGAGGAGAGGGAGGAGAGAGGGAGGAGAGGGAGGAGAGGGAGGAGAGGGAGGAGAGAGGGAGGAGAGGGAGGAGAGGGAGGAGAGAAAGGAGGGGTAAGGCTGGGTTCACAATACGTCGCATTGCCTTGCGGGCCGTGCCGCATTGCGTCGTTTGGCTAAGATAGTATCCTTGTCACACAGCACAGTGCAACGGGGGCAACACAACGTATTGTAAACTCAGCCTATAGAGAGGAGGAGAGTTGGGGATGGAGAAGGGATGCATACCTAGAGAGTTTTAAAAGAGCAACTACGGATGTTTAATGTCAGCCGCCAGCCTATGTGGTGTTGTACCTACATGTGTCGACTCCTTATTGTAAAAAGCTCAGTATACATAGACCTTGGAGGTCAGCCTGGCCTGTTCTCAATTAACTTCAACTCTATGCGCTGGTGTGTTGGGTAAAATCTCTGCCCCCTCTCAGCGGCAAAATTGTCCTCTAACGTAGTGCCAGTAACTCACGGCGTAGTCCAGGACAACGGGAGTGTACGGTCTGCACTTCCCCAGCAGATCTTCTCTGACTGCAGAAGAGGAGAGGCAAACCACATCATGTGTATATAATACGTCACACTAATACAGTGGTCAGTGGTGGGTGTGCAAGTGGTTGAGTCAGCAATATATCGTGTTCTTCTCAGAGGATTTAGCATTCTCTATGTCTTGTCACTGATAATTAAGATCATGCTATCACTAAGTACGGTAGTACTTAGTATATAGGGATGAAACAGGTCCTGCATTATGCCAATACATATTTGAGATTTTCATGTTTCACTTTATGTCTTTCCTCCAAGTATGATTATAGAGATTATTTCAAAGGGTCCATTGTCAGATGGTTTTACTGCATGTACTATGTATATAAAAATGTACTGTACCTATAATGACAGTGATTATGGGGGGGTACGTACCTATGACGACAGTGACTCCAGCACAGCCAACATTCTTTTGGGCTCCAGCATACACCACAGCATGCTGAATGGAAACACACACACTATAATACCATTCATGTGGCATACAGATACCATGGTATACTCCAAGAAACACTGTTAAATGCTTATATGTGAGGGGGCATGGGAAAAGGGACCTATATTATGGCTGGAATGTGAAAATCAAATTTTTGTGGTTTTTCACCATCAAAAACTTAATTTTCACATTCCAGCCATATAGGTCCCTTTTCCCATGCCCCCTCACATATGAACAACTTTTTAACCAATAATAACACATCACTTCATATCTACTGCTTTACCTAAGCTGGTCCACCAATTTCAAAATGTTAGGCCACTATCTATGGACTGCCGATAATAACCACAAACACAGGCCACTCTGTTCTAAAATTCCAGGAAAGATCTCCTATTGTGCGTGTACAAACCTTGGCAATATCAATGGGTCTGGTGAGGAAGTTTGAAGAAGCATCGCAGACGAGAGGAACCGACCCCACATCGGGCGGCTCCGGGAATTCCACTCCTGTACATGGTCACATGACAGTCACATGACACAATGTATGGCCACGTGATACACACGTACACACACATCAAATGCACTCACAACAGTTCAAAAAAGCTGACGATAGTTATGGCACAATAAATATACATCAACGTTTTTCTTAATTGCATAATCAGCCTCCCTCCTTAATGCTGTGCAGGTCTGTGCAGGTGACATAGTTAAACAGCACTTAACATCTCCTGCGTATAGAGTGGCCATGTGCATTAGGCCACTAATGGCAGCAGGTGTTAGCTGTAGTTCACCAGCCAAAAACTGTACTTTGTCTCATTATGTCTTTTGAAAATGGCATCTTTCATCAAAAACTGCGTAAGCTATATACATATGGGCACAAAATTGCCTGTTAATATAATTATTTTGATGGTTTGAATTACGTACATCAAGGCTTTTGACACCCTATGAAAATTCCAGCTATGAAATAGCTCCTTTGAAAACTGACCGTGTACAGTTTCGTTGGCACAGTAGTAGACAAAACCTGCGCCCGGTGTGAGATTCCACTGCGACTGTTCCGGTATTGTCATGTAACCACCGTCGGCCTTCGAAAGGACGTGGTTGACTTTGACAAATTTCTCTCCTTCTTTTGCCGCCTTCTGCGACCACATCCCGGTGATGAAATAGTCTGCCGTCGTGTCTTCTGATGGTGTGAGGTTTAGAGGTATTGCTGCAAACTGAGCCGTCCCGCCACCTTGCTGGAATAGTACTTGGTAGTTGGAGGGGATGTGGCTGGATGGAAGGGAGGGAGGGATGGAGGGAGAAGGAAGTGGGGAGGAAAGAGATGAAGAGGACAAGAAAAGGGAAGAGAGTGAGAAAGAAAGAAAAATGGAAGGAAGTGAGAAAAACAAGGAGAGAAAAAGTCGAGAGGAATAAAGGGAAAAGAAAGCAATATGCATATCCCAGATACGTGGGAAGGCTGTCACATACAGAAGTGATCTGAGGAGGTCTTGTGTCTGTAGGTTGAGGGCAGTGTACTCTGGTGATCTGTGACTCAGTTCTGTGGAGAATCAACACACCTTCAATCAACACAAGGCAAGTGAATACACAACGACACCCAGGACAACACTTTTTCAGAGAAAGTCAATCTGATGTTCGCCAAGTGGCAGTTGTTTTACGTCTGCAACTCACTTCCACATCAAAAGGTTGGGTAGATTGGTGTCGCATTCCAACAATTCCACAATTACAATTCGAGACCTGAACTACCAGAGATTGCACATGGTAGGCACATGGTCGACGCAGCGTCCAAGTGTCTGCTGTTACAAGACGCCACTAATTTACATAGCAGGCAGGCAGATAGTTAAAAGCACTCTCTAACAACGGGTGGCTGTACATTATGTAACAGCAACTGAAAGGCCATCTTACTGTTGTAACAAAAGAAATAGTCTTTCCATTAGTCATAATGCAGGGTGTCATGTGACTGTCATGTGACCGTGCAGGGTGCAACTTTGTTGCTTGAGACACAAAAGTCTCCTGTAACTTCAATGTATGACTATATAGGGTGGATCCATCATGTTGCAAATAAACGTTGATTTAACTACTTCGCTAACACAAGTAAGTATTTAAACGTGACTGCAGAAATGTCACAAGTGTATAAGTAATCATTACAGTATGTTTTCCGTGAACACACTGAGTTATATCACCGGGCCGACACAACAATCAAAACAGATTATGTCCCCTGCATTCAACAGCAGCCAAATTATCCATATTAGGACTACAATGGACCAAACAAAACGGGACAAAAGCCACTGACAGGAGGACAATTAGGAAGGAGAAAAGGCACAAAACGGTGTGGCAGGAAAACAGCATAGCAAAGCCGTTCAGCATAGACAGTACATGTATAGGTGTGATATCCACTAACACTTTCTTTGTTAGTATGACAATGCAAAGCTCCCGTCTCCTACAACTTCCATCACAGCGTACTGTGTATTTATCTAGTTCCTTCTGTTTTTCGTGACCTGTTTAGTAAACTTCAATCTGCTTTATGATTTAAGAAAGTTCCATTCTGACTTTCCTACTAAAGATGAACATCCAATAAAGACATGTTATGAACACTGTTCCCAAAATTCGGCATTATTACATCTTACGTCTGCAATACTTTACAACATCACATTTACTATATTCATGGCTAGTGAGAACAATCCATTACAGCTAAAGCATGCTGTCATAGATACTGTTTGCATGTCTGAAATCAGGTTGGGAATTTCAAAGCTTGTCGAACCTGCTTATACAGGTTTTGGGAACCGTTAGGCCAGCTACTTACTTTTATGTTTATTACTCCTAAATGATAGACATCTTCACACGAATTTAGGAAAAACATGTTGTAATCCGTGCAGATGATGACGTAATCTGCAGCGAGTTGGCTACCATTGTGTGTTGGCAGCGAAGTCAATTACTGCTAACTGACGAATCACTGACGAATCACAGTCGGCATAACAAGAAACCGTATCTAGTGATGAGAGGTGACCTTTATTCTACGCACAAAAGCCGGGTGCTTTGTGTCGCTCGCTCGCTCACCCATAACGCCCAGGCCGAGTCCCTTGTAGTTCATCACGTTCTCCCGCGCTTCCCGGACAACCTGCGGCAGACACCGGACAGAGACGGAGAAATGAATTACATTCTGCGACAGATATATCAGGTCGTTTCTAACACTGCACCTCGTCCGGTAGGGCCGCTGGGCCAGGTGAGAAGTTTATTGTGTTCTCGCGTTTTCTTGTCAACGACATCTTTACGAGGAAGCCTGGATACCTCTAAGCACTACAGAACTGAACCTGCAAGTGAGAAGTTAAGCGACACGAGGGCGTTAACTTACGCTAAAGAGCGAAGCCCTTTATACGTACTACAGACTTTGTGTTCTCCATGCCTAGCAATCAGCGCATGCGCAAGAGATATTTGAGCGGGCAATCGGTCGCGCGCGAAGGTTCACCTAGCACAGTACAGTTCAGTGAAGAATGGAGGAGAGGATAAAGGCCCAAGTGAAGGACAGCGATCCTGCAGAGGTACGTCTACGAGACAGTCAGCTTCCTGCTTTGTGCTGTCACCCAAACTGATATTGCCACGCCCTATAAATGTGCAGCTTTTATGAAGGGTCAAAGGGGGCCTGATTAGAGCAGCCAGTCATTGTTTTCTCTCCCTCGGTCCGCTATATCAGGTGAAGGAGCTGATCTTGGACAATGTCCGTGAAACGTCAATAGTTGGTCTGACTGACAAATTCTCTTCCCTGGCAACACTCTCTGTCATTCACGTCGGCCTCACATCACTGGACGGTCTTCCCGCTCTCCCTAGCCTCACCAAGGTATGGGTGTATCGGTGTACGGGAGTCCCAGAATATGGACGTGTATGTCTCAACTATTTGGTAACGAGGTAGAAAGGCAAGGCAAGGCAAACTAATCAACTACACTCTCATACCCATACCCCATACCCTGTTTCCCATACCCCACACCCCATACCCCATACCCTGTTTCCCATACCCCATACCCAATTCCCAGTAAAGAAAAGACCATTGAGCGATTTTCTTCGTTGTGTTGACTCGTCTTTGTCAAGGGAATGCGCAAAAGGCCTGTTTTTTTTCATGGACACCGCACGCAGACCTACCTTACGAATGATTGCATAACATCAGGTGATAAATGAGCAAATACACTGCAATCTGTCTCGAAAGTAAGACTGTTGAGTCGGCATGACAGAAATCGCTCAGTTGGTCACCACACCCCATTTCTTCTCCTGAGGGTGGGGTCTGGGTACGAGGAAATATCCCAGTATGTGCTCGTATGAGTGTCATGTGACCGTCACATGACCTCCCCTACAGCTAGAACTGGGGGACAACAAGCTGACAGGAGGTCTGGAGGCCCTGAGCAAGTGTCCAGAAATTCGACATCTTAGTCTGGTTGGCAACAGACTGGCTTCTGTTGACCTTCTCGCCCCTCTGGTAAGATGAATGGGAAATTTGGCAGTTTGGTGTTGATACCAATCTTTAGTGGCGAAATGGGCTTGTTTCACCTGCCACTGGTGGAAAGGGAGCTAATATCTTTTCCTCCTCTTTTCTGGTGGCAAATAATGTTGTAGTTACAGCGATGTAGCATTGGCGAGTAAAGCCTATCTAAGTTGTCTGAATCACAAAACCGCACAACTTTGTAGCTGCATGACTGGTTCCACAAGTCACATGACTATCACCTGGGCCCTCTCTACGGGTCACATGACTCTTACCTGACCCTCTCCACCAATCAGAAGGGTCTGGAGAAGCTGGAGACCCTGGACCTGTTGGACTGTCCCCTCACGAGGCAAGAGGACTACAGGGCACGTGTGTTTGCTCTGCTCCCGGGTCTCAGATCACTCGACGGTCTCAATCAGGCAGGGGAGGAGGTGGAGGAGACCGACAGTGAGGGGGAAGGTCAGAACAATACAATGGAACCCCTCTAATGAGGACACTAGTAAAATTTGAATTTAGAACACTCTCTAATAAGGACACACCTTTTCTTTCCCCAATTGCATTTGCCTCAAACTAGCTATGTAACAATTATGTTGATGATATTGGCTATATATCTATAGTGTGCTTGTATACAATTTAGATATATTATACTGTTTGACTCTTCTACAATCATTATGTATGTAACAGAAGAAGAGGAAGAAGAGGAGGAGGGAGAGGGGGAGGGAGAGGATGAGGACGATGAGGTCGGACTGGACTACCTCAACAGACCCCTTGACTCTGTGAGTTGCATGAGATTGCTTTTGGAAGTGTTGCGTAATTGAAGGGGTCAGAGTCAGAGTGGGCCAACCCTCAATATACAATTCTTGCCAGTTTTCCTTAAAATGTGTCCTAAATGTCCCTATAGAACAAAAACCGGCAAGAGTTGTATATTGAGGGCTGGCTCACTCTGACTCTGATCCCTTCCAATTGGTCCTTAGAGTGTCGTACTTGATTTGTGTGAGCTGTTCTTAGCTCGAAACTCCTGTTCATCACCTGTTCTTCTTATGGCATACTATGCATTGAGTAACTATAACAACATAATTGACTCAAAACCTACAAGGAAAGTATCGGCATTAGCACAATGGGCGAGTGACACATCCATGTAGAAAATACCATGTGATGCCAAGAGAAAAAGATGCGGAGCTCTGGACAGCTGTTTTGGACTTGTTGGCCCTCATCAGCAGAGCATACCGCAACTTCTCTCTCTGCCATATATACCTCATTCCCAATTTTACGAATTTACAATACGACGCTGAGCTTTCATTGGTTTTGTGTCAGTCTTCAGTCGTGTGTCTCTAGGTTTAAGACTGCCGAATCATTCGCCTACCTACATCTAGTTTTGGAAGTGCATCTCTCTTTTGCCGCACTCTCTTCCTCTTTACCTCCCTCCCTCCCTCCCTCCCTCCCTCCTCCCTCTTTACCTCCCTCCCTCCCTCCTCCTTCCCTCCCTCCCTCCCTCCCTCCTCCCTCTTTACCTCCCTCCCTCCCTCCCTCCTCCCTCTTTACCTCCCTCCCTCCTCCTCCCTCTTTACCTCCCTCCCTCCCTCCTCCCTCCCTCCCCCCTCCCATCAGGATGAATCCAGTGATGGAGGAGACTATGACCCGGAGGCTGATGGAGATGAAGAAGATGACGACCTCATACCAAGTGACGACGGAGAGGGAGGAGGGGAGGAGGATGTCCCGTCTGCCAAGAGGCAAAAAGTCAGCGAACCAGGCACGCAGCAAAAAAGCGCTCAGCCTGAGAACTAAACAATCACACTATCTATAATGTACTGTATATACCACACCCACACATGTATCACATATACACTGTCTATTACATCATCGCTCCCTCTGTATATATCAATATACCTTGTTTACACACACGACGTTATTATCAACAGCAAAAACTGGCATCTAAATGCATTTTTGACTATCGAGTTTTAACACAACAGATTCAGCGCATTTAGAATCACGTAAAATTACAATGTACACAGCCCCCCTTCCGAATCAATCTGAACAAAATACGTACAGCTTGCAATTGCTTACTTGCTTCGTGCACCAATTAAACCACAAGACATAACACTATTGCACTCTTCGCTCCATACGCTTTTTAAATATTATAATCATCATCATGCGTAATACACTATGAGATGATGCATAAACATAAATAAACTAAGCGGTGAATAAAAGTATTACATAATATTATACAAACTAACAGGTAAAAATTAGTACATAATATTCTCCAATATCCTATATGTTCGTGTGTGTATTAGCTTTCTATGAAGGAAAGAAGGGAAAAGGAAAAAAATGGGTCAGTGTGAAATGAATAATATAACGACAGGGATAATAATTATGACAGAGAGAGACTTTCAGATTGTAAAACTTATATATAACATGTCCTTGCGTGATGTATTATATATACAACTGAGGTCAGCTATAGAGGAAGGAAAAAACAATGGCAGTCCACAACTGAGCTATATACAACATAATAGGGGCGTGCGTATACAGTTACAACACACATGGCAGTGTGGATAACAGTTATAGCACATACATACAGTGCGTGTATACAGTTGTACCACATACATAGGTGTGTATATAATATAGTCATAATACTACTACATGAGGTTATAGTCTTTGAGGTTTTCTTCTAGCACGTGCTCGCGGACGTCCGAAAAGACTCTCTTGATGTTCTCCGTGTCAGTAGCACACGTGAAATGTGGGAAGAGCCGTTTGTTTTCGGGGTCAGGGTTCACCGAGTGAAACAGCGTCTTGATGAAGTCTTTCGCGGCCTCAGGGTCTCCGTCCGTTGATGGAGCCCCGTTAAACTGGAACTCTGTGGGGGTGGGGGAGCATCAATAAGTACGGTGTATACAGTGGAACCTTTGAACAAGGGACACTATGGGGCCAGCAGTCAGTCTTGTCCCTTGAAGAGAGGTCGTCCCTATCATGAAGGTCAACTAAAGTATTAGCAAACTATAGTTGTAGAGAGGTCGTCCCTATCATGAAGGTCACTAAAGTATTAGCATGGGGTTCAAACTATAGTTCCCTTTGTAGAGAGGTCGTCCCTATCATGAAGGTCAACTAAAGTATTAGCATTGGGTTCAAACTATAGTTCCCTTTGTAGAGAGGTCGTCCCTATCATGAAGGTCACTAAAGTAAGCATGGGGCTCAAACTATAGTTCCCTTTGTAGAGAGGTCATCCCTATCATGAAGGTCAACTAAAGTAAGCATGGGGCTCAAACTGTAGTTCCCTTTGTAGAGAGGTCATCCCTATCATGAAGGTCAACTAAAGTAAGCATGGGGCTCAAACTATAGTTCCCTTTGTAGAGAGGTCATCCCTATCATGAAGGTCAACTAAAGTAAGCATGGGGCTCAAACTGTAGTTCCCTTTGTAGAGAGGTCGTCCCTATCATGAAGGTCAACTAAAGTATTAGCATGGGGTTCAAACTATAGTTCCCTTTGTAGAGAGGTCGTCCCTATCATGAAGGTCACTAAAGTATTAGCATTGGGTTCAAACTATAGTTCCCTTTGTAGAGAGGTCGTCCCTATCATGAAGGTCACTAAAGTATTAGCATGGGGTTCAAACTATAGTGCCCTTTGTAGAGAGGTCGTCCCTATCATGAAGGTCACTAAAGTATTAGCATGGGGTTCAAACTATAGTTCCCTTTGTAGAGAGGTCGTCCCTATCATGAAGGTCACTAAAGTATTAGCATGGGGTTCAAACTATAGTTCCCTTTGTAGAGAGGTCGTCCCTATCATGAAGGTCAACTAAAGTATTAGCATTGGGTTCAAACTATAGTTGTAGAGAGGTCGTCCCTATCATGAAGGTCACTAAAGTATTAGCATGGGGTTGGTTGAGGGTCTCTTATCTGAGGTTTCACTGTATGTTCCAATGTATAATGTTATGTAGGGCTTGTGCGGAGGAAAATTTACACGAGCAAGCAATGCCAGTTTGAAGTATGTTTGTAGCCATCATCCAATAGTACTGCACTAGGCACTTGGCTAAAACAATTCATGGACAAGTTAAAATTGATACTCTTTAATCCACAGCCATTTGTACGTATTATGCAAGCAAGAGACAATGTACCGTGCATGCATATTATGTTTTCAACGTGCTGAGGTTTTGCACTTTAGTATAATTCTTTGATTTAAAGTGTCCTACATATTCAGTAGAACCCACTCACCCTTGTATCCGGGGAAGTGGGTGGAAATGGGTGACCTCCCAATCTTCTCCATGAAGAGGTCGGTCTTGTTCATGAAGAGGATGATGGAGGACTCCTGGAACCACGGGTAGGAGATGATTGTCTCAAACAGAGCCAGACTCTCCCTCATTCTGTTCTGGGCCAAGTCTTCCACTAGTGCCTGCAGATCGGTTCAAATTATAATTCATCAAATTATACGTCCTCATTTACTACAACCCTTTGGACGCCATGGGTATCTCCTTAAATGAGCAGAAATTGAAATCAATGAATGCAACGCATATTATTTTGGCGAGTGAAGCGAACATTTCGATTCGGTGCGTGTTTCACACGTGTATTTAGAATTACGTGTTATTATGTACATGCAAATATTTGCAACGCACCTGATCATATTCATTGATGGCTGTTAGGAAGATTATGGCTTTAACCCCTTCAAAACAGTGGATCCACTTTCTTCTCTCTGACCTCTGACCTCCCACATCCACCATCCTGACAAGGAAAAATTAATGTCATACCAGTAATCTCTTAGCAGGAAACCTTTTTTTTGAGGGAGAAAAGGTTCATGACTCAGAAAACAAAAATTTCGTGGGTTACTCGCATGTGTCCCACAAAATTTTGCAGTGAAAACTGCAGAGTTTACTTTTATCTCTTCAAATTACAGCAGTATAGGAGCACATGGTATAACCTTTGAAAGTGGCAATTCCCAAGTTGTACACAATATAATATTAGCTTGGAGAGTTTCATGTATTTGTGGCTGCGTTTATTACTGTGGTGAGTAATGCACAATTAGAGGGGATTTCGAAATTTCTGGGCTACTAGAGTTTCAGTTCATTACACAACGACACAATTGTACGTATGTGCATTTATGTCTGACAGCACGCAGAAGAGAAATTACTTGAAAACGACTTCTTTTTTCATCTGAAAGTTGTACTCCACAATGCCCGTGGTCGGCACTCTGACTCGTAGGACGTCGTCCAGTGAGGGAATGTAGTCTGGTGTACTGAGACGGTCGAGATTGTCAAAATAGCTGGAGGAGGAGAGGGAGGGAGAGGGAGGAGGATAATGTGTACTCTTGAAAGTTGGAATTGTGGCAGATGCCCTGTTCGAGCTAATGCTCAGAACATTACAATGCCAGGATGTGCATACATCCTTTCACGTAGACACACTGTCTAACTTATAAGAAGTGGTGGTGAAATCACACACACTGCATCTACAATAGACTTCATAATTAACCCTCGGCGCACATGCGCAGCGAGGGTTACTGTAGTTGGGTCTGTCTGTGTGTCTGTTACTCTCATCTCACTTCGCGGGTGTTTGTTCGGTCTCACAAAGGATACTACCATACTTAACGGGCAATGAAGGGCAGAAATTTCGGCGAGCGGTTTTCATCTCGTAAATGCTACCGTTGCTAAAGCTAGAGGCGGCGAAAAAGCCTACTATGCAAATACACAACCGCCTTACCATCAGTCGGATCTAAGATCTACGTGCTGTGCGTACTTACGGAGGCAACCAGGAAGATGCAATGCAGGGCGTGTATCACTCTCGTATGCTATCTACTAGTGTAGTTAGCCCGCGTTCCGACTCTGCGCGAGCTGGCAAGAGACGCAACGAGATAACAGCTATCAACTAAACCCAGCCCATCGATAGTGTACGGCTTCATGCATTTACTACGCGTGTGCGTCACTGTGCGCGCTAGTGTGACTTCAGTGCTTTTCATTATACTGTTCACATGTACATACACCATGCAATGACAAGGCATATCCCTGGATTGTGTACACTTGTCTGCGTCGTCATATCCTCGCATACACACTGTGTGTACATGTCAGTATGGTACGACCAGTAAAGGTACATTATGGTACGACCAGTACAGTTACATATGGATGCCATGCTTATATATGTTGTGTCAAATTAGTGTGGCAGTGGAAAGGAGCAGTCACGCCGAAAGAATGCGTCCATCTTGTCACACCCGTCAGCGGCACAGTTATGGTACGACTAAGCCATGCATTATGCCATGACATCAGGCCATGCATTAATGTTGGTAGTTAGTTGGCAGTGGAAGGAGGCTGTAAGCCGAAAGAATGCGACGGCATCATTGCATGCACACACAAAGGTACATTATGTACGACTAGGCCATGCATTAGGCCATGCATGCAGCCATGCATTATGTTGGTAGTGTAGTTGGCAGTGAAAGAGGCAGTACGAGCCGAAAGAATGCGACGCAATCATTGCACACTCAAAGGTACATTATGTGACGACTACGGCCTGCAAGTCTTAGGCCATTCATCATCTGCATTAGGCCATGCATCACGCCATGCATCAGTCCAGCGCCATGCGTTATTGTTGTATGTTATTGGCAGTGGGAAGGAGGCAGTAAGTCCGAAAGAATGCTGCGCCTCATGCACACGACAAGGTGCACATAGTGGTACTACGTAAAGACTAAAGCCATGCTTCATGTTGGTAGTGTAGTTGGGCAGTGGAAAGGAGCAGTAAGCCGAAAAGAATGCGACGCATCATGCACACAACGCACCCACCTTACGACGGCATTGTACACATCAAACCCTTCATCACTCATGCTACGTCACTATAGATATATATGAAACTAATTCTAGTTCATAGCATACCAGCCATAGGTACCGTACTTTGATCCTTGTGGCTGCCATTCATTTTTGTTTAAAAGTTAGTCATTAGTTGCGAACCTGCCTTACCATGAAATTCTACACACACATGACTGTGCATCTCGGGGTCAATATATATGTCTATATCATAGGTACACACTCGCATGTGTCATGGTAAGTCAGGAAGGGTGTTGCGCCTGAACGGGAGCTAGGAGATGAGTACATTATATAGTGTATTAGCAAGATCAGCCAGCCAGCTCTTGTAGCTACAAGAGTCCGTGTAACGGTTGACCTGTTTCCTTTGCCTTGCGCTCTACCTACCTCGTTCCGTCATTGTGTGAGCACATCCACTAGTACAAGAAAGAGAGAGTAGAGATGGTGTGATAGCTCACTGTCTACTGTAGTCATAACCTGAACTTATTTCTCGGATCGAAGCATTTCTTTCTTCATGCCAGGAGTCGGCGCCCAGAGAGCTCCGGCTGGCTGCACACTACTTCTTGTGAAATCTCGGAGAATACAGAAAAACGTAAGGAGTATAATCCCTTTTCTAATAGCGTTTATCTGCAGTCCTCCTCTCCAGAACTCGATATGGTGGACTGGAAGAGAGGGAGGGAGGAAGCGGGAGGGTAGGGCGTTATGGAGGGAGAGCGGGCGATGACATAAAGCAGAGTATTTCACAGTCTTGTGTAGACCACAGCTCCTGCACACCATGAGAACTGTTCACTAACGCACAGTGAAAAGAAAATCTTTTCTCTTCTTCAAAATGCAAAAAATATGTATATAGGATGGCATCAAAGCATGAAAAAGAAAGAAGAAGGGGTCATTACACTGACACTTACAACGACAATTACACTGCTAATAAGGACTGCAAAGGCTACTGTGAACGAACCCTCTACAGTATCGTATTTATATCAGCTATTACCGTAGTAGGGATGGCGTCATGTAGCTGGTGGGTCGTGTAGCATGTGTCCTGGACTGTGTTTCTGACTTTGTTTGCATGTTTGCGCCTAGTCACACTATATATCGATTATTATGCGTAGTGAGTCGTTGTATCACCCATCTCGCCAGTAACAGAACGAGAAAACGTTTATATGGCTTAGTGTAGAGTCGCGCCCTCGTCTATAGTATCTTAGTGCGAGGTATCCACATACCATACATATGTACAGTAACAACTTCCTAGAATTTGCCAGTGGGTGTAGGGAGGACAATAGAGTAAAGGCAGACCCAGCTATGGCAAGCACGTGTGCCACCTGCAGCAATGAAATGGTCAGAGACAAGTCATTGTACTGCAACACTGACGCCTTGTACAGTTCTCGCAGCATCACACCACATACCGTACAGGTAATTCACTAACATTGCACCATCACCAACACGCCGGTTTCAGGGTGTCGGAAGGTTCAGGCAAAAATGTAACTGTCTCTCAGCGACCTAGTAGAAGGTACGTCTGTGCTGGGGGGCTGCCAAGGTCGCGTTGAGGAGCGGGAGACGATGATGAGAAAAGACGGGGTATAAAAATAAGGGGAAGTAGAAAAAGTGTAGGACTATTAAAAGGATAATGTGTTACACAATACGCTGCGGGCGGGACAAAAAGGGGGGGTCAGACTGAAGAACTCATACTAGGAGAAAGGAAGAAGAAGAAAAAAAATACCGTCCAGGCAACGTAGTTATGGAACAATACAAAGACGCGTGATGACAGGGGCAAATAAAATATATACAAAACATTGTGCCCATGTGAGGGGGAAGTATGGGGGGGAGTAGCGTAAAGCGTGCAGGCGCGGGCAATAGATGGTATAGCTAGGAGCATCGTGGGATTGAAGAAGGCCATGGGAGACGTTGTTTAGACCGAGTGAAAAAACAAAAGAGAGAAAACTAGGCGCGAGAGGTGAAATGAAGGGGATGAGTATTAGGGGGGAAATTGGAAGACGACTCCAAAAGGGGCAAGAGTGTATCACGGTAGTAGGCGCTAGGGGGATGTACGGTCGTAGAACGGCTAAACAGGGTGTGTGCATACGCCGCGAGAACCAAAAAGATGTGATTTGCGGTAGTGCGTGGGAAGTGGTGAAAAATACGGGACGGGAGAACACCAAACGGGGCTATGTGAAAGAGGTTGACGAAGTCATCTAAGGGGGCCGACAGCAATGAGAACTGGGGCGAATATTGTGAACAGAACGGTCATAATGAAAGGGAAGAGCACGTCCTGCGGAGGTGGGGTGATAAGTAGTCGATAACATAGACAAAAAGACTGATGTATAGTGGACGAGGTGAGGGATAAAGAAGTGGACGGAATGCGGGGCAAGGAAGACATAAAGATAGTGAACTAAAACAACCCAGAACGCCGGTAAGGAGCACTCTTACTTTGAGGAAGACAAGTAAAAAAAAAAGTACCAAGAAAAGAGATTAGGGGTTGGTCCCAAAGGCCGGGATGGGCATAAGAGCGAGAGGTAGTAGATAGAGGAAGGGAATAGGTAGCTATGACACACCCAAGTCGGGGGGCGCAGAGCGTGAGACAAGGGTGCAACTAATGGCAGGGCAAGCACAAGGTAAACCTCACACCAACTGACGACTCAGTACGCAAGGCCATCCGCGAGACCTTTTTCGAAATAAATACGAGACGACACAAGAAAGAATGAGGCATGTAGTCCGTCCCGGTGGCAGGGGATATATCGGGAACCCACAGAACAGCCAGTCAGTGAGTAGACGAAGCCTCATCTACGACACAACTGAGCATATAACAAACACAGGACCAACATCAGACGGGTTCACAAACCAATACACGCACACACTAGCATAGATGTGGCATTAATGTAGCAGAGACGAAAGAGTAGTGGATAATTATAACGCCTAACATCGTGGGAAAAGTCCACTACACCATTCACAACATATGGCCTCATTTTATGCAGTTTCCTACTGAGAATCTGTGAGAGTCTGTGGAGAATATCACACATCGTGGAAGTCCACTGGTTTTAAGGCAGTGTTAGTCGAGGTTACGGAGATAGAAGACACATATATGGCAAACATCCCACGTTTCCACCAGCTCGCGATTGATCTAAGGAAATGGGAGTATATGTGTGGGATACGTCAGATAGTTTGGTGGCCTCGCAAGGTTTCATTGCACATGGTAAAATATTTTACCAATGACTCAGCTTG